CCACACACACCACACATACACCACACATTACACCACACACACACCACACATACACCACACACACCACACATACACCACACATTACACCACACACACCACACACACACCACATACACCACACACACACACACACACACACACACACCACACATACACCACACACATACACCACACACACACCACACACACACCACACACACACCACACACACCACACACACACCACACATACACCACACACACACCACACACACACACCAGACACACACCACACACACACCACACACATACACCACACACACCACACATACACCACACATAACCCACACACACACACCACACACACACCACACATAACCCACACATTAGGAAGCCACTGGAGCTATGCGCTCTTAAATAATCTAAATTGAACACTCGTTTATTTAAAACTGCATTTTGTGTTGAGTTTGTTGTCATTCGCCCATACTTTCGATTAGCACGGTTGGCTACGTACGGTGCGAAAGAAGTTCAACACACATTCATAGCCGGTCCACAGGCGACACTGATAGTGACACTGATGGTGTGTGATTACACGGACCAGCGACGTTCACGATTCGAATCTATCGGCCGCCGCAGTGGTAACGGCAATCTCCAATTAGCACGGTTGGCTACGTACGGTGCGAAAGAAGTTCAACATGCGCTGTCGAGTGCAGAAACAACAACAACGACAACAAGTAGCAGTGCTGTTTCGTGCCGTCTGCCTCGCCAGCAGTGGGCATGGCCAGATCCCGTGACGGCTTCGCAAGGGGCACCACTGAGGCCTGGTGAGATGTTAACGACCTCGCCTGGTGTACACGAGGTCGTGGGTTCCATCCCGACCCTGACGATGCCTGCTGTATACTTGGAGTTTGCGTGTCTCTCTGCCTCTGGTGGGATGTTAACTACCTCGCCTGGTGTACAGGAGGTCGTTAATATCCAGCTCCCTGACAATGCCTGCTGCTGCTGCTGTATATTAGTAGTTTGCGTGTCTCTCTGCCTGGGATGTTAACGACCTCGCCTGGTGTACAGGAAGTCGTTAATATCCAGCACCCTGACAATGCCTGCTGCTGCTGCTGTATATTTGTAGTTTGCGTGTCTCTCTGCCTGGGATGTTAACGACCTCGCCTGGTGTACAGGAGGTCGTTAATATCCAGCACCCTGACAATGCCTGCTGCTTCTGTATATTTGTAGTTTGCGTGTCTCTCCCCGTGGTCGCGTGGAATTTCTCAGGGTCCCTCCCATTTCCCCCTCCACGTTTATAATGAACATCGTCAGGCGTTTAGAGTGTTTTGGCTGCTGTCAATTTCCACACGATGGTGATGATAATCTCATTTAGTTGAGGTGCCGTTTGTAATAGCGAGGTGGCTTCTGAAAACGAGCACGACACCAGCTCAGTGAGGCCCTTACCTGATAACAATAACACTAAATAGTTAAAAGAGTTAAAAAGTAGAGGCCACGAATGTTAAAAACTTTAACGAATTACTGAACAGCGCAAATGTCTCGATTGGGAACCTATCCAGCGGCAATTATCGCAAAATCTTGGCAGGTCCCTTCTGAGAAGTCTTGAAATCAGAATCATGAGAATATGCATTTAGACTGCAGGAATCCGATGAGCTATGAAGCTCTTTTTCACAGCTGTCCAGTAGTTTCACAGATGTCACAATGGTAATTATTTGTAACTAAACTATTTTTTTATTTACCGGGTTTAGCCCACTGAGCTACGTAGTTATTTTTCAGAAGCTCAACGAAGTAGCTTATCATGTGGACATTTATAGCAGCCAAATAATATATTAATACTCTTAAACGCGTGGTGATGTTGATTCTACATGTGGAGGGAAAACCCGGAGGAGCCGGAGAAAAATCCACGCGATCACAGAGAGAGAGAGAAACCACAAACTCCACATCTACAGCAGCAGCAGCAGGCATCGTCGGGGTCGGGATCGAATCCACGACTTCCTGCATACCGGGCGAGGTAGTGAACATCTCCTAGCCACCGTGGTGCCCCTTAAATAATTACATTATATAAGTTCTAATTTAATTTCTATTTAAAGCTTTCGTGACTGCAGGGATTCATATTCTTGGTTCTTTCGGTAAAGTCACGTAGGAGGGAAACAATAAAATAAAACAATAACATTCAAGTGAGAATTGTATTGTTTTATTATTTCCCTTCTACGTGACTTTACCGAAAGCACCAAGAATAGGAAGTTCTAATTGCATCATCACTTCCCACGCTTGGGGAAGGCAGTAAAACGAGATGAAAACAGTCCCAGGCCACACCAAGACCAACACGAGTAGCCAAGAAGCCCTCAATACAAATGACACCTACATATTAACATTTTACCCTCAATACAGTTTTAAGGATTACATTTACAAAGCACATGTTGCAAATGTGGCTGCTGTATCCAGCACCGATCTTCTGCTTCAGGGATAAGTTTGAAGGCAGATTTAGGATATTAAGCGAGGAAGCGAGCTGCTACCACAACGTTGCTGCTGCAATGGGCAAAGACTTTGTGTTACCTGTTCCAATTCTTGGGGTAATTCGTTTCATGCCACTAACAAAGCGAATGAACGAAACGAACACCTAATTAACAGAAGCACACGCGATGAGGACCAAGTTTATACTGGTAGGAACGAAGTTGTGAACTGAGTGTACCAGCCTGCAATAGATTAATGTGTCCGTCCGTCCGTCCTCTTTCAATACTTTAACGAAGTGAAATCTCGTGCTGTTGGGTGTAAAATCAGCAATAGACAGCGCAGAGACTTGATATGTCTTATTGCACCCAACATTTGGAAGTAACAATGTCATAAAATTGCGCAAAATTCCAATGTTCCTACCAGCCCACCCTGCAGGGACCTGTTTAGCCAAAACGTTGCCAATGCAAAGGCGTTTCCACCTATTCCCATCACCTATTCTTCTGCAGGGAAATTCAGTTTTCAGATTCATAGGGCGTACAGCCGTTTCAATACTGGCAAAGACAATTGTCTATTTGTTTGTGTTTGTCGCATGTGATGCGACTTTGTAAGATGAACGTTGAGATGTCAAAGGTCACGGGGTTACCAAGAAGGTCTGAGTTGGTCTGTAATCGGGTAGGCACTGATCAGGGGTTGATAGCTTTGTGTGTTGCAATTATTGGGGTAGTCAATTTAAACCAACACAATTGATGAACGAAACTCGTTCACGAAGCTATTGTCATTGACGAAAGCACTCAACATTAAGAGCCGAACTCGTTGATTATTTCGGTAAGTCACGTAGGGAAAAAATAAATAAATCGACGTGAAGAGCCGAGTTCATCAGCAGAGGTCACGGCTCTGTGTTGGCGCTGTGACGTCATCACAACACGGGCAGCCAATGGGAGGCCGCCGTGTCACGATCACCCCCCCCCCCCCACTGGAGGCGCGAGGAGGGTGTGCGGGCGACGCGACATGCACCGCTCGTGAGTCGCGAGTCGACTCCGCCGCGCGGGTCGACTCCGCCGCGCGGGTCGACTCCGCCGCGCGGGTCGACTCCGACTCCGCCGCTCGAGTCGACTCCGCCGCTCGAGTCGACTCCGCCACACGAGTCGACTCCGCCACACGAGTCGACTCCGCCGCTCGGTGACCCCGCGGCTGAGAGTTCACGCCACCGTGGAGGATGAGGTCGCATTTCACAATCACATCATTTACTTACGCCGGAGGAATCCGATGAGCTGTAAAGCGCGGGGTCAGAACGTTACAACACACACACACAATAAGGAGTGCAAAGTAGAGCAAAGATGAAACAAATCACTTTTTAAAATATAAACATACAAATAAAACGGTGCTGTGTTTTATCTCACCAGGTAAAGCGCGCCGAGCTATTAACTTATGTTTCTGAAGCGACCTGTCCATCACAAATGATAGCTTGACGTAGTGAGCTGATCATCATCATCATCATCATCGCCATCGTGTGGCAGATTCTTTGGGTCTTTCGGTAAAGTCACGTAGATAGGTTCAAAGAAAATAACAATAAAAATTACGACGTTTCGATCGCAACACAAGCGTTCGGCAACTTTCTATCTACGTGACTTTACCGAAAGACCCAAAGAATATGAATTCCCGCAGTCTCGAAAGCTTTGAGTCGTCAATATTTCATCGTGTGGCAACTTACAGCAGCAGCCAAATAGTCTGAAAGCGTCACGGGTGACGTGAGCACGGGGAGAGAGACACGCAAACTCCAAACACACAGCAGTGTTCGGGGTAGAACCCACGACCTCCTGTGTACCAGGCGAGGTCGTTAACATCTCTTAGACACCGTGATGATGATGATGAGTGAGACACGCAAACTCCAAACACACAGCAGTGGTCGGGGTAGAACCCACGACCTCCTGTGCACCAGGCGAGGGCGTTAACATCTCCTAGACACCGTGATGGTGATGAGAGAGACACGCAAACTCCAAACACACAGCAGTGGTCGGGGTAGAACCCACGACCTCCTGTGCACCAGGCGAGGGCGTTAACATCTCCTAGACACCGTGATGATGATGATGAGTGAGAGAGACACGCAAACTCCAAACACACAGCAGTGGTCGGGGTAGAACCCACGACCTCCTGTGCACCAGGCGAGAGTGCTGTTTGTCGCTGGCCGCTGGGCGTGGCCGATCTGATCGCTTGGTGGAGGAGGGAGAGCGGTGGTGCAGCGGTTAGCGCCGCCGCGTTACGAACCCGGCGACCCGAGTTCGATTCCGGCTCACGGCCAACAGCACCGGTGACGATTGATATCTATTGATGGGCCTCCCCTAGGTCGACTCAGCCTCAAACGTGTACCAGGTGCGGTGTGTCGTAAACATCGTCACTGGGGAGACAAAGGCGGCCGGGCGCGGTGCTGGCCACCAGCCCAGCCGCCTCGCGTGGCGTTCCTGGCCACGTGATAGGCGGCTGCTCCTCGCTGCTCACGGCACTTGCCCCAGCAGTCTGTGGAGGCTACACGGGTGGGGAGGGGGGGGGCTTTGTCTTTGTCTTTAGGGAGGTGCATGCGCGCTCGGCAGCCTCCTCTCCACTCCGCGGCAGACATGGGAGCTCTGCGCGCCGCTCTCCTCCTGCTGCTGCTGCTCCTCATCTCGCCCTGCGGCTCCACGCACGGTCAGCTGCCCTTCGCTGCCCCCCACGCTGCCCTTCGCTGCCCCCCACGCTGCCCTTCGCTGCCACCCACGCTGCCCTTCGCTGCCACCCACGCTGCCCCGGCGGTCGGCGTCGCCAGCCCGACTTTTTTTTGGGGGGGGGGGCGCATCGCCGCTTTGCCTTAGGGCGCCTTACCGGCGGCCTCCTCTAGGCTTCCGGCGAGCCGCTCAGGCAAGGGCCCCGGGGTGGGGAGTTGATGGCGGGTGGCGGGTGGCGCGCGGGCAAAGAGAGAGTCTCGGTTGAGTTGGAGAGGCTGCGAGAAAGTTTTAACCTTCGTGATTTAGCGCGGGATGTAAGGAATGTGATAATGTCTCCTGGGGGCGTCGGAGTGGATTCTCTGCTGGTGCACCGGTCGGGGGAGTTTGGGACGCTGCAGAGTTTCTCGATTCACTCTGAACCCCGTCGCCAACATCTCAAGAGCGGGCGGCGGATTGTTGCTGGCCGGTTCGCATCCGCGGAGGGAGCTGTCCCTGTCTCCGGACTACACAACGAAGAAGTTGGTCCCCGTCGTGCCCCTCCCTGCTGCGTGGTCTCCGGTTCCTTGGGTGAAGTCACGAGATGACTTCACCGAAGGAATGCCGAGAGTTGTCAGTCCAATGTCCTCCTCCGTGTCGCCTTGACAGACCGCAGGCGCCGCCTGGCTAGGCGCTGATAGCGGCGGCAGCGCCTGGCCAGGCACTGTGGCACACGACGGAGTGGGCAGCCAGCAACCACGCCCGGCCGCCTTTGTCTCCCCAGTGCGAGTCGACCGAGGGGTAGCCTCAGGACCGGTTCAGCGGTGGCCTTGAGCGGGGAGTCGAACTTGGCTCGCCCGCAGCGCAGCGCTAGCCGCGTCGGCCACTCACGCCTGTGGACATTCCACGTTACCATGGACGGGCGCGACGCGGGGCCGCTGTTTGTGACCGGGCAGCGAGGTGGTTGGTGGCGGGGGAGGTCAGCAACCCTGGACCGCCTCTCTCTCTCTCGCTGTGCGGGGAGGCGAATTACTCGCTCCACCGGCGGTGGTTCAAGTTGTTGCTGCGGAGTTTCGAGAGGATCGCAGTGTGGCGCTCCACTACGGCCCCGCGGTGTGACCGCACTGCCAAGAGTTGTGTCGTGAACGCCCTCCTCCACCCGCCTCCACCTCGCGCCGGAGCCGTCCTCGTGGCCGCTGCTGTCGGGAGAGCGGTCCGCGCGACGCGCATTGAACGATTGGGTTGTCCGACGTTTCGCTGGTTAGTTAATAACCACGAGCAAGCATCATCAGGCAGTGATGATGCGTGCTGGTTGACGTCGCCCACACATCAGCTGTGCCTGGCTGTGTGGGTCGCGATAGGCCCCCGCCCGTAGGGGTGTAACATATGACAGGTGTAACATATGACACGTGTAACATATGACAGGTGTAACATATGACACGTGTAACATATGGTCCACAGGGGTGTAACATATGACACGTGTAACATATGACAGGTGTAACATATGACACGTGTAACATATGGTCCACAGGGGTGTAACATATGACACGTGTAACATATGACACGTGTAACATATGACACGTGTAACATATGGTCCACAGGGGTGTAACATATGACACGTGTAACATATGACAGGTGTAACATATGGTCCACAGGGGTGTAACATATGGCAGGTGTAACATATGGTCCACAGGGGTGTAACATATGACACGTGTAACATATGACACGTGTAACATATGACACGTGTAACATATGACAGGTGTAACATGGTCCACAGGGGTGTAACATATGACACGTGTAACATATGGTCCACAGGGGTGTAACATATGGACGGTGTAACATGGATTGCAGGGGTGTAACATATGAACGGTATAACATATGGTCCACAGGGGTGTAACATATGACACGTGTAACATATGACACGTGTAACATATGGTCCACAGGGGTGTAACATATGGCAGGTGTAACATATGACAGGTGTAACATATGACACGTGTAACATATGACGTGTAATATATGGACCACAGGGGTGTGACAGGTGTGTAACATATGGACCGCATGGGTATAACATAGGAAAGATGTAACATGACAGGGGTATAACATATGACAGGAGTATAACATATGACAGGTGTGTAACATAGAGATGTAACATAGGAGAGATGTAACATGTGACAGGTGTATAACATAGGAGAGATGTAACATATGACATGTGTATACCATAGGAGAGATGTAACATATGACAGGTGTATAACATAGGAGAGATGTAACATATGACAGGTGTAACATATGACAGGTGTATAACATATGACAGGTGTGTAACATAGGAGAGATGTAACATATGACAGGTGTGTAACATAGAGATGTAACATATGACAGGTGTATAACATATGACAGGTGTGTAACAAAGGAGAAATGTAACATATGACAGGTGTGTAACATAGGAGAGATGTAACATATGACAGTTGTGTAACATAGGAGAGATGTAACATATGACAGGTGTGTAACATAGGAGAGATGTAACATAATAGGTGTATAACATAGGAGAGATGTAACATATGACAGGTGTGTAACATAGGAGAGATGTAACATATGACAGGTGTGTAACATAGGAGAGATGTAACATATGACAGGTGTATAACATATGACAGATGTGTAACATAGGAGAGTTGTAACACATGACAGGTATATAAGATAGGAGAGATGTAACATGACAGGTGTGTAACATATGACAGGTGTATAACATAGGAGAGATGTAACATTTGACAGGTGTGTAACATAGGAGAGATGTAACATATGACAGGTGTGTAACATAGGACAGATGTAACATATGACAGGTGTATAACAAAGGAGAGATATAACATGAAAGGTGTGTAACACATGACAGGGGTATAACATATGACAGGTGTGTAACATATGACAGGTGTGTAACATAGGAGAGATGTAACATATGACAGGTGTATACCATAGGAGAGATGTAACATATGACAGGTGTATAACATAGGAGAGATGTAACATATGACAGGTGTATAACATATGACAGGTGTGTAACATAGGAGAGATGTAACATATGACAGGTGTATAACATATGACAGGTGTGTAACAAAGGAGAAATGTAACATATGACAGGTGTATAACATAGGAGAGATGTAACATGACAGGTGTGTAACATAGGAGAGATGTAACATATAACAGGTGTATAACATAGGAGAGATGTAACATATGACAGGTGTGTAACATAAGAGAGATGTAACATGACAGGTGTGTAACATAGGAGAGATGTAACATATGACAGGTGTATAACATATGACAGGTGTGTAACATAGGAGAGATGTAACACATGACAGGTATATAACATAGGAGAGATGTAACATATGACAGGTGTGTAACATAGGAGAGATGTAACATGACAGGTGTGTAACATAGGAGAGATGTAACATATGACAGGTGTATAACATATGACAGGTGTGTAACATAGGAGAGATGTAACACATGACAGGTATATAACATAGGAGAGATGTAACATCTGACAGGTGTGTAACATATGACAGGTGTATAACATAGGAGAGATGTAACATTTGACAGGTGTGTAACATAGGAGAGATGTAACATATGACAGGTGTATAACATAGAGATGTAACATATGACAGGTGTATAACATAGGAGAGATGTAACATATGACAGGTGTATAACATAGAGATGTAACATATGACAGGTGTGTAACATAGGAGAGATGTAACATATGACAGGTGTATAACATAAGAGAGATGTAACATATGACAGGTGTATAACATAGGAGAGATGTAACATATGACAGGTGTATAACATAGGAGAGATGTAACATATGACAGGTGTATAACATAGGAGAGATGTAACATATGACAGGTGTATAACATAGGAGAGATGTAACATATGACAGGTGTGTAACATAGGAGAGATGTAACATATAACAGGTGTATAACAAAGGAGAGATGTAACATATGACAGGTGTGTAACATAGGAGAGATGTAACATATGACAGGTGTATAACATAGGATAGATGTAACATATGACAGGTGTGTAACATAGGAGAGATGTAACATATGACAGGTGTATAACATAGGATAGATGTAACATATGACAGGTGTGTAACATAGGAGAGATGTAACATATGACAGGTGTATAACATAAGAGAGATGTAACATGACAGGTGTATAACATATGACAGGTGTATAACATAGGAGAGATGTAACATATGACAGGTGTATAACAGAGATGTAACATATGACAGGTGTATAACATAGAGATGTAACATATGACAGGTGTATAACATAGGAGAGATGTAACATATGACAGGTGTATAACAGAGATGTAACATATGACAGGTGTATAACATAGAGATGTAACATATGACAGGTGTGTAACATAGGATAGATGTAACCTATGACAGGTGTGTAACATAGGAGAGATGTTACATTTGGACCCGGCAGCTGGGCTCGGAGTGGGGAGGAAGCTGCTTCTCTGCTTCTCTGCTCCTCTGCTCCTCTGCTCAGTGACAAGGAAGGAAAGTTTGGGAGTTAACGTTGAGCCACACCAACACCAAATCATCTCCAATGCGATGTCCCTGCTGCTCAAGTGAGCCACGTTGAGACTCTAAACTAAACTACAACATATCTGATTTTATTTGACCAGTTCAGGCTCGCTGAGCTACGGAGCTCTTTTTCAGAAGCGACGTGGCTGTCACAAGTGGTGGCCCAACCAAATGTCTCATCATCGTCATCATCGTCATCATCGTCATCATCATCATCGTCGTCATCGTCGTCATCGTCGTGTGCAAATTGAGGGCAGCAGACAAATACTGTGAACGCGTGGTGACGTGGATTCTTAATGTGGAGGGAAAAACCGGAGGATCTTAGAAAAATCCACGCGACCACAGGGAGAGAGAGACACCACAAACTCCAAATATACAGTGGTCAGGGCCGCGATCGAACCCACGATCTCCTGTACACCTGGCGAGGTAGTTAACATCTCCGGCGCCGTTTCTCTCGTTGCAGGAGGTGACGCAGAGCACCGGGACGGGGAGGTGAGCCGGGGACTGGCGGGCACACACACGCACACACACACCACTCGCTACACACACACCACTCGCTACACACACACCACTCGCTACACACACACCACTCGCTACACACACACCACTCACTACACAGGCACACACCACTCGCTACACACACACCGCTCCCTACACACACACACCACTCGCTACACACACACACACCACTCGCTACACAGGCACACACACACCACTCGCTACACACACACACACCACTCGCTACACAGGCACACACACACCACTCGCTACACACACGCCACTCACTACACAGGCACACACACACCACTCGCTACACAGGCACACACACGCACACACACACCACTCGCTACACACACATGCACACACACCACTCGCTACACACACACACCACTCGCTACACACACACACCACTCGCTACACACACGCACACACACACCACTCGCTACACAGGCACACACACACACCACTCGCTACACACACACCACTCACTACACACACACCACTCGCTACACACACACCACTCGCTACACACACACACACACACCACTCGCTACACACACACACACCACTCGGTACACACACACACCACTCGCCACACACACACCACTCGCTACACACACATACCACTCGCTACACACACCCCACTCGCTACACACACACCACTCGCTACACACACCCCACTCGCTACACACACACCACTCGCTACACACACACCACTCGCTACACACACACACCACTCGCTACACACACACACCACTCGCTACACACACACACACCACTCGCTACACACACACACCACTCGTTACACACACACACCATTCGCTACACACACACCACTCGCTACACACACACCACTTGCTACACACACACCACTCGCTACACAGGCACACACCACTCGCTACACACACACCGCTCCCTACACACACACACCACTCGCTACACACACACACCACTCGCTACACACACACACCACTCGCTACACAGGCACACACACACCACTCGCTACACACACGCCACTCACTACACAGGCACACACACACCACTCGCTACACAGGCACACACACGCACACACACACCACTCGCTACACACACATGCACACACCACTCGCTACACACACACACCACTCGCTACACACACACACCACTCGCTACACACACGCACACACACACCACTCGCTACACAGGCACACACACACACCACTCGCTACACACACACCACTCACTACACACACACCACTCGCTACACACACACCACTCGCTACACACACACACACACACCACTCGCTAGACACACACACACCACTCGGTACACACACACACCACTCGCCACACACACACCACTCGCTACACACACACACCACTCGCTACACACACCCCACTCGCTACACACACACCACTCGCTACACACACCCCACTCGCTACACACACACCACTCGCTACACACACACCACTCGCTACACACACACACCACTCGCTACACACACACACCACTCGCTACACACACACACACCACTCGCTACACACACACACCACTCGTTACACACACACACCACTCGCTACACACACACACCACTCGCTACACACACACACACCACTCGCTACACACACACACCACTCACTACACACACACCACTCACTACACACACACCACTCGCTACACACACACCACTCGCTGCACAGGCACACACACACCACTCGCTACACACACACACACACACCAGTCGCTACACACACACCACTCGCTACACACACACCACTCGCTACACAGGCACACACACACCACTCGCTACACACACACCACTCGCTACACACACGCACACACACACACACCACTCGCTACACACACACCACTCGCTACACACACACACCACTCGCTACACACACACCACTCGCTACACACACACCACTCGCTACACACACACCACTCGCTACACACGCACACCACTCGCTACACACGCACACCACTCGCTACACACACACACACACACCACTCGCTACACACACACACCACTCGCTACACACACACACCACTCGCTACACACACCACTCGCTACACACACACCACTCGCTACACACACACACCACTCGCTACACACACACACACCACTCGCTACACACACACACACACCACTCGCTACACACACACACCACTCGCTACACACACATCACTCGCTACACACACACACCACTCGCTACACACACACACCACTCGCTACACACACACACCACTCGCTACACACACCACTCGCTACACACACACACCACTCGCTACACACACACACACCACTCGCTACACACACATCACTCGCTACACACACACCACTCGCTACACACACACCACTCGCTACACACACACCACTCGCTACACACACACCACTCGCTACACACACACCACTCGCTACACACACACCACTCGCTACACACACACCACTCGCTACACATGCACACACACCGCTCGCTACACGCACACGCACACACACCACTCGCTACACACACACGCACACAGGCACACACACACCACTCGCTACACACGCACACACACGCACACACACACCACTCGCTACACACACACACGCACACACACCACTCGCTACACACACGCACACACACACCACGCTCGTCACACCCACGCACACACACCACTCGCTACACACACATGCACACACCACGCTCCTCGCACACACACACCACTCGCTACACACACACGCACACACACACACCACTCGCTACACACACACACACACCACTCGCTACAAACACATGCACACTCCCGCACACACAACACTCGCTACACACACGCGCATACACACCGCTCGCTACACACACACGCACACACCACTCGCTACACACACACGCACACACAACTCGCTACACACACACGCACACACGCGCACACACACGCACGCACACGCACACACACGCACGCACACGCACACACACGCACACAAACCACTCACTACACACACACACTACTCGCTACACACACCACTCGCTACACACACACAACAACAACAACAACAACAACCGCCATTCGCCACTAAGTGGCGGTGACGTCACCACGACGCTTGTGCCAGGCTATGTGCACCCTGAGGCCACGTGAAGTGTCGAACGCCCGCTGGCAGGAGGTCACGGGGCAGACCCAGGTGCCACGGGTCGACTGACTGAGATGACTGGCTGATGCACCACCTGTGCCCCCTACTGTGCCAACCTGCTGTGCTTTAGCCACCCGGCGCTCCGCTCGCTGTTGTGAGCGTCGCTCCTCCGCCCTCCGTTGTTGTTGGAGGGCGACTGCCTCCAACTGCCCAGTAGCATCCTTCACGAGCCTCCTCCACAGAGGCCGATCTTGACACCGCTGGTACCAGTCATCGGCAAGTCCACTCAGCTCCACGTCCTCCTGTACCACATCACTCCATCTCTTCTCTAGCCCGTGCCGCGCCCGCTTAGCCCCCTCAATCCGGCCAAACAAAAGCTGTTTCGGCATGCGGTGGCTGGGCATGCGGGCTACATGACCCAGCCATCGCAGCCTTGCCTGCCGGAGGAGCTCACCGATGGGACCCTGCCCAGATCTTTCAAGGATTTGTGAGCTCCTCACACAATCCAGTCTGGTTAAACCCAGGATGGATCGTAGGCAGGTCAGCCTAAATGTTTCTAACCGGCGAAGATGTTCCATTAGGGGGGTCCACGTTTCGCAAGCGTAGAGAAGGGAGGGAATGACCGTGGCCGAGAAGACCTGAAGCTTAGTGCGGAGCGACAGACCAGGTAGCTTCCACACAGCGTTACGCAACCGATGAAAAGATATTGCCGCTCGACTGATTCGGAGTGAGACCTCTGCTGTTAAACTGGAGCCAGTCATAAGCACACTGCCCAGGTATGGGAAACTCTCCACTCTCTCCACAACTGCCCCATCACCGATTGGGAGTTGTGGGGGTGGAGTGTCCGATGGTACAAAATACCCAGGCAGGTGCTTAGTTTTGGTGGGGCTGATGGTAAGGCCCCACCTCTTAGTGGCACGCTCCAGTCTCAGCAGCAGCGTCTCCAACTCCTCCTCTGACTGAGCAGCTATTACCAAGTCATCAGCATACATAACGTGGTTGAGCAATAGGGAGCCATCCCTTGACCGCACCCGGGCATCGATTAGCCTCCCATTATATCTGTACCATATGGAGATTCCCCCGGTACAGCTATTGAAGGCTTCACGAACTACGTGGTCAAAATAGATGTTAAATAATGTGGGAGCCAGAGGACATCCCTGTCGCACCCCAAGGTGTACAGGGAATGGCTCTGACTCCCGGCCACGTAGTTTTACCCGGGCCCGCTCACCATCATGAAGGTCCTTAATGATCGTGAGCAGAGGGTCAGGTACTCCAAAAGCACGAAGAACGACCCAGAGCCCAGGCCTACTGATGGTATCATAGGCCTTGACCAGGTCAATAAAGCAGAGATGTAGGTCTTGTTGGAATTCCCTACACCTCTGCTGTAGCAGACGGACAGAAAATATGGCATCTGTGCAGGACCGCCCTTTCCTGAAACCGCATTGGGGCTCCGCAAGCCTCTCCTCAGCGTGCCTGGCAAGGCGATGCTGAATAATCCTTGCCAGGACCTTTCCCGGCACACTGAGGAGTGAGATGCCCCTGTAGTTGTTACAGTCTGTGCGGTCCCCCTTCTTAAAAAGGGGGACCACCAGGGCATCCTTCCAATCCTGCGGAACCCGTCCAGTGGTCCAGACTGTTGTTATGATGTCATATAGGGCAGTCTGTGCACAAACGCCACCCTCCCTCAGCATTTCGCTTGGGAGATCATCTCTGCCCGCTGCCTTTCCTGGTCTCAGACTCCTGATCGCCTTCAATACTTCCTCAGCAGATGGCACCTCAGCCAGCCACTCACAGGGGGTGACTTCATCCAATATTTGAGGCACCGCAGCCTCAGCAGGGTCATCCTCACTTTGTGCCACGATGTTTTCCTGGCTGTGGGATTTTCCCTCCCCCAGGACCTCACAGAAATGCTCAGCAAATCTGCGAACCTGTTCCTGGGGGTCGGAAATTGGATCACCGTTTTTTTCCCCTAATGATGGTAATAGGTGTGGCGCTGCAGGTTACTTTTTTGATGGAGTTAAATAGCGATTTGTGATCACGGGCCACTGAGGCAGACTCCATCTCCTCAGCAACCCGCGACCACCACCCATCCTTGCAGCGCCTCACGGCTCTCCGAACCTCCGAGCGAAGGCTGCGGTAAGCCTCCTCATTCTCTGACGTGGGATTCTGTAGCCGATGACAGTGGGCCTGTCGCTTTTTCTCAACCATCCTGAACAACTCCTCTGTCATCCAGGGTGTCTGGGGAGGTCTGGACCGCGTACCCAAAGCAGCCATTGCAGCTGCATGAGTCACAGTCCTAAACCTCGCCCATTTACCCTCGACATCAGGAGGAGTCGGGGACGATGCCAATCCCAGCCGCAAGCGATGATGAAATTCTCGCTTGCAACTTTCATCAGATAACTGAGACCAGGCCACTTTAGGTTGGAATGGGGTCCTGGGTGTACACCCACCACCGGAGTGGAAGAATGGCAGGCGCATCTTACAGATGACTAGTCGATGGTCAGAGGGCAGATCAGCTCCACGGTAGGTCCTGGTGTCAAGGACATGGGCTCGCATTCGCTGGTCCGTCACTATGTAGTCCAGCAGATGTTCTTGCTTGGACCCGGCATGCATCCATGATGTTGTGTGGATGCGCCGATGCCGGAACAGCGTGTTGGTAATTACAAGCCCATGGGCTGCACAAAAATCTAGCAGCCTCCTACCGTTGTTATTGAGCTGATCTGGCCCATGCCCTCCAATCACTCCAGACCAGGTGCCAGTATCATGACCAACTCGGGCATTGAAGTCACCCAACATGATGACTCTATCCCGAGGGGCCACTTTAGCCAGCACCTGTGACAGGAGGTCATAGAAGGCATCTGACTCATCGGCTTTGCCTGCATCCCTCCACGGATGTTCATCTTCGGTGGGGGCATAAGTAACCACGACCACCATTCCTCGCCTCCGGTTGATGGGAAGGCGAGCCCAAAGTAGCCTGGGGCTTACAGCTTCCCACACCTCACCGCCACGCTCCCACGCCCCCTTCATTCTTTTGTTCAAAAGAAGACCCACACCCTGTTGTTTGGCAGTCTGCTGCCCCGAGTAGAGGACTGTCCACCCCTCATGGTGGCAGGAGCCAGAGCCGGTCCACCGGACCTCCTGAATGCCGCATAGATCCAGGCGGTACCGGTCCAGCTCCCGACAGAGGAGTGGCAGCCTCTCCTCTGCAGTGAGCGTTCGAACATTCCACGTGGCCACCCGTAGTGGCTTTTCGTTGTTTCTGGAGTAGCCCCGAGGGTAGGTATTCAATCTCCTGGCTCCGCCAATTGGGGTTTGGCCAGGAGACGTCATAGACGCCTGGCCCCCCGGGGCCTCCGGCACAAGCTTAGTTGTTACATATTTCACTTTAATTCGTGGTTTTGTGGTAATTAATTGAAGGTGGAGGGGTTACCAGCCCCTCGCACCCGTCCAGAGCCCCCGTTTAGCCCCTGTGGTGGACACATATGCCATGAGGGGAGGAGCCAATCAAAATTGGAACTCCCCCCACAGCACTGTCCACGACAGAGTTGCCCGTCCGGCACCGCGAGGAGGTAGGGGGTTGTTTTGCCGGACACACACACGCACACACACACACGCACACACACGCACACACACACACGCACACACACACCACTCGTTACACACACGCGCACACACACCACTCGCTATGCACACACACCACTCGCTACACACACACATGCACGCACACCCCACGCTTCTCGCACACACACACACACCCCACGCTCTTCACACACACCATGCTCACCACACACACACCACGTTCGTCACTCTCACACACACACACACCACGTTTATCACACACACACCACGCTCATCACACACACACACACCACGCTCATCACACACACACACACACCACGCTCACCACACACACACCACGCTCGTCACACACACACACACCACGCTCATCATACACACACACACTACGCTCACCACACACACACACACACACCACGCTCATCACACACACCACGCTCATCACACACACACACACCACGCTCATCACACACACACCACGCTCATCACACATACGCCACGCTCATCACGCACACACACCACGCTCATCACACACACACACACCACGCTCATCACACACACACACACCACGCTCATCACACACACACACACACCACGCTCATCACACACACACACCACGCTCATCACACACACACACACACTACGCTCATCACACACACACACACACTACGCTCATCACACACACACACACACTACGCTCATCACACACACACACACCATGCTCACCACACACACACACACCACGCTCATCACACACACACACACCACGCTCATCACACACACACACCACGCTCATCACACACACACACACACACCATGCTCATCACACACACTCACACCACGCTCGTCACACACACTCACACCACGCTCATCACACACACACACACCACGCTCATCACACACACACACACACTACGCTCATCACCCGCACGCACACACCACGCTCATCACACACACACCACGCTCGTCACTCACATACTTTTTGTGAGCTTGTTGGTGACCGGGGTTAGACCGCCAATTCACTTCACTTGAGAACCTGTGATCATCAGAAACCCAGTCTGCGTGAGTCTATGGATCCCTGTGTGAGCTTCTGGGTCTCTGTGTGAGTTTGAGTCCCTGTCTGAGTCTATGGGTCTCTGTGCGAGTCTATGGGTCTTTGTGAGTCTCTGTGAGTCTATGGGTCCCTGTGTGAGTCTTATGGGTCCCTGTCTCAGTCTCTGTGAGTCTACAGGTCTCTGTTTGAGTCTACGGGTCTCTATGTGAGTCTACAGGTCTCTGTGCGAGTCTATAGGTCTCTGTGTGAGTCTACAGGTCTCTGTGCGAGTCTGTGGTTCTCTGTGTGAGTCTACGGGTCTCTGTGTGAGTCTACGGGTCTCTGTGTGAGTCTACGGGTCTCTGTGTGAGTCTACAGGTCTCTGTGTGAGTCTACAGGTCTCTGTGTGAGTCTACGGGTCTCTGTGTGAGGCTCTGTGAGGCTACAGGTCTCTGTGCGAGTCTACTGGTCTCTGTGTGAGTCTACAGGTCTCTGTGTGAGTCTACAGGTCTCTGTGTGAGTCTACGGGTCTCTGTGTGAGGCTCTGTGAGGCTACAGGTCTCTGTGCGAGTCTACTGGTCTCTGTGAGTCTACAGGTCTCTGTGCGAGTCTACAGGTCTCTGTGTGAGTCTGCTGGTCTCTGTGAGTCTACAGATCTCTGTGCGAGTCTACAGGTCTCTGTGCGAGTCTACTGGTCTTTGTGAGTCTACAGGTCTCTGTGTGAGGCTCTGTGAGGCTACAGGTCTCTGTGCGAGTCTACTGGTCTCTGTGAGTCTACAGGTCTCTGTGTGAGTCTCTGTGAGGCTACAGGTCTCTGTGCGAGTCTACAGGTCTCTGTGGACTATCGTTTGTGATAGCCAGGTCGCTTCTGAAAAAATAACTACACTCCTCGGTGGGCACTACCCGGTCAAATAAAAAATAGTTTTAAGCCAGGGGCAGTACCGGCTCAGCGTCCCTCACATGTGACCTCGTGACCCCGTGACCAGGATGAGGGTGACGTGGGCAGCGACGCGAGGCTTCTGGGAGACGGAGTCGATGACGGCGGTGCGGACGAGCGGAGCGACGGTGAGGACTACGGGGGTCTGGAGGGCGGCGACGAGGGCGGCGACGAGGGCGGCGACGAGGGCGGCGACGAGGGCGGCGACGAGGGAGGCGACGAGGGCGGCGACGAGGAGGAGCAAGTGACTCCGGACGGTACCACCGCTCCAACAGACGGCGGCGGAATCGACGAGGAGGAGGAGGAGGAGGAGAGGCCGGGAGGGACGGCCGAAGAAGAGACGGAGACTGCACACGGGGAGGACGGGAACGAGGAGGAGGAGGAGGAGGAGTCGCCTGAGAAGAGCGAATCTTCACCTCGTCGCGACGATGGCGGCAGCCGTGACGACGACGGCTCCTCGTCCACGGAAAGCCCGCCAGGTGCGAGAGGGCGGCGTGCGGCGCTCCTACCGCTGTTGCTGCTTCTGCTGCTGTTGCTGTAACATCGCCACTGGGGAGACAAAGGCGGTCGGGCGTGGTGCCGGCCACCCACCCCCTCGTGCGCCTTGCCGGCTTTCGTAGGCGCCGCTCGCTAACGGCCCTTGCCCCGCCGGTCTGATAGAAGGCTACCCGGGGGACCTTTGTGTTTGTGCGCGGCAGTGCTGCGGGCGCTGGGGGGCACGGGCGACGGCGCCCCCTGCGCCTTCCCCTTCCTCTTCCTGGGCCGCGAGTACACCGCCTGCACCACCGACGGGCGCGACGACGGCCGCCTGTGGTGCGCCACCACCTACGACTACGGCCACGACGCCCGCTGGGGCTTCTGCGAGAGTGAGTGGCACCCGGAGGCGCGCCGGCGCCGGCGCTCGTGTGCCGGCGCCGACCCTGCCGCTCCGACGTTGTCGCTGGCACGCCGTCGCTGGCACCCCGACACTGGCACACCGTCGCTGGCACGCCGTCGCTGGCACCCCGACACTGGCACGCCGTCGCTGGCACACCGACACTGGCACACCGTCGCTGGCACACCGACGCTGGCACACCGACACTGGCACGCCGTCGCTGGCACACCGACACTGGCACACCGTCGCTGGCACACCGACGCTGGCACACCGACACTGGCACGCCATCGCTGGCACACCGACGCTGGCACGCTGACGCAGGCTTGCAATTAGCTTTATACATTTTTTATATTTATCTTACTTTATTGACTTGTATTCTTGGTTCTTTCGGTAAAGTCACGTAGAAGGGAAATAATAAAATACAAATAAAAATTAAAAATGTATTTGTATTTTATTACTTTCCTTCTACTTGACTTTACCGAAAGAAACAAGAATATGAATCCCTGCAGTCACGAAAGTTTAAAATCTCACTTTATTGACTTGCTTTACCTTCTCTCTAATTTGGACCGCTCTCGTTGTTGTACTGTTTGCTGTCGTAACTTGCTCACCACCGCCCCCTTCATGGACATCTGTGACAAAGAGCTTCGTAGCTCATCGGATTCCTCCTCTTCCAGTCTAAATACAGATTATGATTCTAAACTGAACTTTTTATTTTACCAGGTAATGCTCCACTGAGCTGTACAGATCTTTTTCAGAAGCGACCTGGCCATCACAAATTACAGCTCAACCAAGTGGCCTTATCATCAGCATCACGTGGATATTTATAGCCACCAAATTATTCTTAACGCGTGATGTTGATTCTAAATCTGTGGGGAAAACCAGAGGACTCGGAGAAAAATCCACGCGAACACGGGGGGAAGAGAGACGCAAACTCCAATATACAGCAGACGTCAGGGTCAAGATTGCACCCATGACCTCCTGTATACCAGGCGAGGTAGTTAACATCTCACCACCGGGAGAGAGAGAGAGAGAGACGCAGTCTCCAAATATACAGCAGGCATCGTCAGGCTCGGGATCGAACCCATGACCTCCTTAGCGCAGCGCCTGATTCGCGCACACACTCACACTCACACACATCCACACACTCACACACTCACACACACTCACATACACTCACTCACACACAACAACAACAACCGCCATTCGCCACTAAGTGGCGATGACGTCACCACGACGCTTGTGCCAGGCCATGTGCACCTTGAGGCCATGTGAAGTGTCGAACGCCCGCGGGCAGGCAGTCACGGGGCAGACCCAAGTGCCACGGGTTGACTGACTGAGATGACTGAGATGACTGGCTGATGCACCACCTGTGCCCCTTACTGTGCCAACCTGCTGTGCTTTAGCCACCCGGCGCTCCGCTCGTTATTGCGAGCGTCGCTCCTCCGCCCTCCGTTGTTGTTGGAGGGCGACTGCCTCCAACTGCCCAGTAGTGTCCTTCACGAGCCTCCTCCACAGAGGCCGATCTTGACACCGCTGGTACCAGTCATCGGCAAGTCCACTCAGCTCCACGTCCTCCTGTACCACATCACTCCATCTCTTCTCTAGCCCGTGCCGTGCCCGTTTAGCCCCCTCGATCCGGCCGAACAAAAGCTGTTTCGGCATGCGGTGGCTGGGCATGCGGGCTACATAACCCAGCCAACGCAGCCTTGCCTGCCGGAGGAGCTCACCGATGGGACCTTGCCCAGATCTTTCAAAGATTTGTGAGCTCACACAATCCAGCCTGGTTAAACCCAGGATGGATCGTAGGCAGGCTAGCCTAAATGTTTCTAACCGGCGAAGATGTTCCATTGGGGGGGTCCACGTTTCGCAAGCGTAGAGAAGGGAGGGAATGACCGTGGCCGAGAAGACCTGAAGCTTAGTGCGGAGCGACAGACCAGGTAGCTTCCACACAGCATTACGCAACCGATGAAAAGATATTGCCGCTCGACTGATTCGGAGTGAGACCTCTGCTGTTAAACTGGAACCGGTCATAAGCACACTGCCCAGGTATGGGAAACTCTCCACTCTCTCCACAACTGCCCCATCACCGATTGGGATTTGTGGGTGTGGAGTGTCCATAATACCCAGGCATGTGCTTAGTTTTGGTGGGGCTGATGTTAAGGCCCCATCTCTAAGTGGCATGCTCAAGTCTCAGCAGCAGCGTCTCCAACTCCTCCTCTGAATGAGCAGCTATTACCAAATCATCAGCATACATAACATGGTTGAGCAATAGGGAGCCATCCCTTGACCGCACCCGGGCATCGATCAGCCTCCCATTATATCTGTACCAAATGGAGATTCCCCCGGTACAGCTATTGAAGGCTTCACGAACTACGTGGTCAAAATAGATGTTAAATAATGTGGGAGCCAGAGGACATCCCTGTCGCACCCCAAGGTGTACAGGGAATGGCTCTGACTCCCGGCCACGTAGTTTTACCCGGGCCCGCTCACCATCATGAAGGTCTTTAATTATCGTGAGCAGAGGGTCAGGGACTCCAAAAGCACGAAGAACAACCCAGAGGCCAGGCCTACTGATGGTATCATAGGCCTTGACCAGGTCAATAAAGCAGAGATGTAGGTCTTGCTGGAATTCCCTACACCTCTGCTGTAGCAGACGGACAGAAAATATGGCATCTGTGCAGGACCGCCCTTTCCTGAAACCGCATTGGGGCTCCGCAAGCCTCTCCTCAGCATGCCTGGCAAGGCGATGTTGAATAATCCTTGCCAGGACCTTTCCCGGCACACTGAGGAGTGAGATGCCCGTGTAGTTGTTACAAGTCTGTGCGGTCCCCCTTCTTAAAGAGGGGGACCACTAGGGCATCCTTCCAATCCTGCGGAACCCATCCAGTGGTCCAGACTGTTGTTATGATGTCATATAGGGCAGTCTGCACAAATGCCACCCTCCCTCAGCATTTTGCTTGGGAGATCATCTCTGCCCGCTGCCTTTCCTGGTCTCAGACTCCGGATCGCCTTCAGTACTTCCTCAACAGATGGCACCTCAGCCAGCCACTCACAGGGGGTGACTTCTTCCAATATTTGAGGCACCGCAGCCTCAGCAGGATCATCCTCACTTTGTGCCACGATGTTTTCCATGCTGAGGGATTTTCCCTCCCCCAGGACCTCACAGAAATGCTCAGCAAATCTGCAAACCTGTTCCTGGGGGTCGGAGATTGGATCACCGTTTTTCCCCTAATGATGGTAATAGGTGTGGCGCTGCAGGTTACTTTTTTGATGGAGTTGAATAGGGATTTGTGATCGTGGGCCACTGAGGCAGACTCCATCTCCTCAGCAACCCGCGACCACCACCCATCCTTGCAGCGCCTCACGGCTCTCCGAACCTCCGAGCGAAGGCTGCGGTAAGCCTCCTCATTCTCTGATGTGGGATTCTGTAGCCGATTACAGTGGGCTTGTCGCTTTTTCTCAACTATCCTGAAGACCTCCTCTGTCAGCCAGGGTCTCTGGGGAGGTCTGGACCGCGTACCCAAAGCAGCCATTGCAGCTGCATGAGTCACAGTCCTAAACCTCGCCCATTTACCCTCGACGTTAGGAGGAGTGGGGGACGATGCCAACCCCAGCCGCAAACGATGATGAAATTCTCGCTTGCAACTTTCATCTGATAACTGAGACCAGGCCACTTTAGGTTGGAATGGGGTCCTGGGTGTACACCCACCACCGGAGTGGAAGAACGGCAGGCGCATCTTACAGATGACTAGTCGATGGTCAGAGGGCAAATTAGCTCCACGGTAGGTCCTGGTGTCAAGGACATGGGCTCGCATCCGCTGGTCCCTCACTATGTAGTCCAGCAGATGTTCTTGCTTGGACCCGGCATGCATCCATGATGTTGTGTGGATGTGCCGATGCCGGAACAGCGTGTTGGTAATTACAAGCCCATGGGCTGCACAAAAATCTAGCAGCCTCCTACCGTTGTTATTGAGCTGATCTGGCCCATACCCTCCAATCACTCCAGACCAGGTGCCAGCATCATGACCAACTCGGGCATTGAAGTCACCCAACAAGATGACTCTATCCCGAGGGGCCACTTTAGCCAGCACCTGTGACAGGAGGTCATAGAAGGCATCTGACTCATCGGCTTTGCCTGCATCCCTCCACGGATGTTCGTCTTCGGTGGGGGCATAAGTAACCACGACCACCACTCCTCGCCTCCGGTTGATTGGAAGGCGGGCCCAAAGTAGCCTGGGGCTTACAGCTTCCCACACCTCACCGCCACGCTCCCACACCCCCTTCATTCTTTTGTTCAAAAGAAGAGCCACACCCTGTTGTTTGGCAGTCTGCTGCCCCGAGTAGAGGACTGTCCACCCCTCATGGTGGCAGGAGCCAGAACCGGTCCACTGGACCTCCTGAATGCCACAGAGATCCAGGCACACTCACACACTCACATACACTCACACGCACTCTCACATACACTCTCACATACACTCACACGCACTCTCACATACACTCGCACATACACTCGCACGCACTCACACACACTCTCACATACACACTCACATACACTCACATACACTCACACATACACTCACATACACTCACACATACACTCACACATACACTCACATACACTCACACATACACTCACACGCACTCTCACATACACTCACACGCACTCTAACATACACGCTCACATACACTCACACGCACTCTAACATACACTATCACATACACACTCACATACACTCACACACACACTCACATACACTCACACACACACTCACATACACTCTCACATACACTCACACGCACTCTCACATACACTCGCACATACACTCGTACGCACTCACACACACTCTCACATACACACTCACATACACTCACACATACACTCACACATACACTCACACATACACTCACATACACTCACACATACACTCACACGCACTCTCACACACTCTCACATACACTCACACGCACTCTCACACGCACTCTCACATACACTCGCACATACACTCGTACGCACTCACACACACTCTCACATACACACTCACATACACACTCACATACACTCACACATACACTCACATACACTCACACATACACTCACACATACACTCACATACACTCACACATACACTCACACGCACTCTCACATACACTCACACGCACTCTAACATACACTCTCACATACACTCACACGCACTCTAACATACACTCTCACATACACACTCACATACACTCACACACACACTCACATACACTCACACACACACTCACATCCACACACACACATGCACTCACACATACACACACACTCACATACACTCACACATACACTCACACACACACACATACACTCACACACTCTCACACACACACATACACTCACACTCACACACACACTCGCACACCGCGGCTCCGCTTGCGCCGTCCGACCTCGCCGTGTCGCCCGCTGTCTCTCGGCGCAGCCGACGAGGAGGCGACGAGGAGGCTGCGTCTGCAGGAGGCGGAGGAGGTGTACCACTCGGCCATGCGCGTCATCAACGGCACGGGCGGGAAGAGCCGCAAGCGCGAGTGAGTGGCCCCTCTCCCCTCGCCCGCCATTCACCTTTCACCTTCGTGCCGCCCCCTCTCCGCATCGCCTTGGGAATCGTTTACGTCACGTTTCATTTGTTTTGATGTTGCCAGGTGTAAGGCGCCCACTGGGCTGTGTGTAGCTCTTTTTTTTCAGAATCGACCCTGGTGTGCCGCAAATGATAGCCCAACAGAAGTGGCTTCTCGTCACGTGGACATTTAAACCTTTAGGCGGCACCCCGGGGTCCCACAAGCCCCCGGCTCTCTCGCATAAACTGCGTTGCGACGTCATTTCATGTCTGTTGAAGGGGAACGATACGGCAAACTATTCCTCTCGGCGAGCTCTCCGCGATGCGCCAATCAAAGTTTTGTTTCTTCTGCGCATTCGTCCGCGCTGCGCTTGGCCGACACGACGACAGAATGATCCGCTCCAGGTGGGTCACGGCATTAACGTGCACGGTGGGGACGGAGTCGCCACAAATAAATTAATTAATTACGGCTTTTGACTTCCGTTTATTCGTGACCCCGGGGTCCCGCCATGAGGTTCATTTGTAGCAGCGAGCAAAAGCCTCTTAAAACGCGTTGACTTTGACTCTAAATGTGGAGAGAAAAAGCGGAGGACCCTGGAGAAAAATCCACACGACCACCAAGAGAGAGAGACAAACGCAAACTCCACATATATATAAAGCAGGCATCAGGGTCCTGGTCGATCCAACGACCTCCTGTATACCAGGCGAGGTAGTTAACATCTCAAAGCCACTGCAGCGCCCCTTGTTGCTGCCTTCGTGTCACCTTTGACCTGGTGATGACCTCCTGACCTTGACCCTCTTTCGACGTGACCTCACCCTGCCCCGGTCTCGCTGTGTTTGCGCTGTGTGTGTGCTGTGTGTGTGCTGTGTACACTCTGTGCTGTGTGTGTGCTGTGTGTGTGCTGTGTGTGTGCTGTGTACACTCTGTGCTGTGTGTGTGCTGTGTGTGTGCTGTGTACACTCTGTGCTGTGTGTGTGCTGTGTGTGTGCTGTGTGTGTGCTGTGTACACTCTGTGCTGTGTGTGTGCTGTGTGTGTGCACTGTGTGCTGTGTGTGTGCTGTGTACACTCTGTGCTGTGTGTGTGCTGTGTGTGTGCGGTGTGCTGGGTGTGGTGTTTGTGCTGTGTGTGTGCTGTGTACACTCTGTGCTGTGTGTGTGCTGTGTGTGTGCTGTGTGTGTGCTGTGTGTGTGCTGTGTGTGTGCTGTGTGTGTGCTGTGTACACTCTGTGCTGTGTGTGTGCTGTGTGTGTGCACTGTGTGCTGTGTGTGTGCTGTGTGTGTGCTGTGTACACTCTGTGCTGTGTGTGTGCTGTGTGTGTGCTGTGTGTGTGCTGTGTGTGTGCTGTGTACACTCTGTGCTGTGTGTGTGCTGTGTGTGTGCACTGTGTGTGTGCTGTGTGTGTGCTGTGTGTGTGCTGTGTGTGTGCTGTGTGTGTGCTGTGTGTGTGCACTGTGTGCTGTGTGTGTGCTGTGTGTGTGCTGTGTGTGTGCACTGTGTGCTGTGTGTGTGCTGTGTACACTCTGTGCTGTGTGTGTGCTGTGTGTGTGTGCTGTGTGTGTGCTGTGTGTGTGCTGTGTGTGTGCACTGTGTGCTGTGTGTGTGCTGTGTGTGCACTGTGTGCTGTGTGTGTGCTGTGTGTGTGCTGTGTGTGTGCTGTGTGTGTGCTGTGTGTATTTGTGTAGCGGTAGTTTCGGTGAGTGCGGGGAAGCTGTCCGTGCTGGCCGCCCGGAAACCGGCCCAGCACCCAGCTCGGTGTGGCTTCACGGCTCGTGGGCTCGGCCCCCTCCCTTACATCCCCCGGATTCACCCCTTCCCCCATGCTCTAGCTCAGGGGTCGGCAATCGTGCCGCTCATTGAGGACTGCGTTGTGACATTGTTTATTGAGGGCCGTCACCGTCTCGTATTCACAGCCGCCTGCGTTGCGGATATTGGAACATTGAGTTGTTTTTTTACCAAATTCAAAATAAAAGTCTCTCCTTGCTCTTTGGCTACCGACCATCGACAGTCAGAGTGACTTCCTGCCGCCCCACGGGAGCATTGAGGCCTCGGTTGCTCTGCTCCCGCTTACAGCCCTGCGGGGCGCAGTGGGGGAGGAATGAACACGTCGGGTTCACTGATAGCGGGGGAGGGGGGGGGGTGATGATGGGCCGAGTGACTCCCCCCCAACCAGGGCTTGAACTCTCGACCCTTCCCGTTGTGAGCCGCCCACTTAACCGGCCGGTTCTTGACCACTGACGTGTAGCACTGCCGCCGTTACCGCCATTGCTGCTGCTGCTGCTGCTGGTGACTCTGCTGCTGGTGACTCTGCTGCTGGTGACTCTGCTGCTGCTGCTGCTGGTGACTCTGCTGCTGGTGACTCTGCTGCTGGTGACTCTGCTGCTGCTGCTGCTGGTGCTGCTGGTGACTCTGCTGCTGCTGCTGCTGGTGACTCTGCTGCTGGTGACTCTGCTGCTGCTGACTCTGCTGCTGGTGACTCTGCTGCTGGTGACTCTGCTGCTGGTGACTCTGCTGCTGCTGACTCTGCTGCTGGTGACTCTGCTGCTGGTGACTCTGCTGCTGGTGACTCTGCTGCTGGTGACTCTGCTGCTGAATGTGCAGGGGCTACAAGCTGCTGGAGCACGCGGCGGAGCTGGGCAGCATGCGCGCCGCCGAGCGGGTGGCGATGGCGGCGCTGTTGGGGGAGTACGCGCGGCAGGACGTGAGTGCGGCGCTCTCCTCGCTGCAGGCGCTCGCGCAGGGCGGCTCCCCCAGGGCACAGACGGTGCGTGCGTACGTGTGTGCGTGCGTGTACGCGTGTGTACGCGTGTGTGTGTACGTGTGTACGTGTGTGTACGTGTGTACGCGTGTGTACGTGTGTACGCGTGTGTACGTGTGTACGCGTGCGTGCTTGTGTGTACGTCTGTGTGTACGTACGTGCACGTGTGTACGTACGTGCGCGTGTGTGCGTGCGTGTACGCGTGTGTGCGCACGTTTGCGTGTGTGCGTGTGTGCGCGTGTGTGGACATGTGCGCGTGTGCATCCGCATGTGTGTGCATGCATACATATGTTTTTACGTGTGTGCACATGTGTATGTATGCGTGCGTGCGTGCGTGCGTGTGTACGTGCGTGTGTACGTACGTGCGTGTGTGTGTGTACGCATCACACGCAGACAGAGATCTCACATATAGCATACACAGATTTTGGGGGCAAGTGCTGTTAGCGAGTAGCAGCACCTCTAAAGGCCGTCAGTGTGGCACACCAAGTTCAAAACTCTGCGTACAGCACTGGGCCGGAGCCTCGTGAAAAAGAGTCTAGAGACTTGGCAATACTTTCCCGGGTAAGCGAGCGTAGTGATGGTGCTGGTGGGGATGAATCATTATCGGTGGTCATTTAGCATTGAGCGTGGAACTGCGATGGTCTGGCAAAAGTCGTGCCCCACTGGGCCCCATAACCACCACCCCCCCTCCCCCCCATTACTACCCTCCCACCCCCGTGCAGGCGCTGGGGTTCGTGTACGCCACCGGCATCAACGTCAACTCCAGCCAGGCCAAGGTACCCCACGCCGGTTGTGTTTGGCTTCCTGTGGCTGTGTGTGTGGGGTGTTTGTGTCACTGCTGCTGTGTAGCTGTGTGTGCTGGGTGTTTGTGACACTGCTGTGTGTAGCTGTGTGTGTTGGGTGTTTGTGTCACTGCTGTGTGTAGCTGTGTGTGCTGGGTGTTTGTGACACTGCTGTGTGTAGCTGTGTGTGTTGGGTGTCTGTGTCACTGATGTGTGTGGCTGTGTGTGTGGGGTGTTTGTGACGCTGTGTGTAGCTGTGTGTGTTGGGTGTTTGTGTCACTGCTGTGTGTAGCTGTGTGTGTTGGGTGTTTGTGACACTGCTGTGTGTAGCTGTGTGTGTTGGGTGTCTGTGTCACTGATGTGTGTGGCTGTGTGTGTGGGGTGTTTGTGACGCTGCTGTGTGTAGCTGTGTGTGTTGGGTGTCTGTGTCACTGATGTGTGTGGCTGTGTGTGTGGGGTGTTTGTGACGCTGCTGTGTGTAGCTGTGTGTGTGGGGTGTTTGTAACACTGCTGTGTGTAGCTGTGTGTGTTGGGTGTTTGTGACACTGATGTGTGTAGCTGTGTGTGTTGGGTGTTTGTGACGCTTTGTGTGGCTGTGTGTGTTGGGTGTTTGTGACACTGATGTGTGTGGCTGTGTGTGTGGGGTGTTTGTGACACTGTGTGTGTGGCTGTGTGTGTTGGGTGTTTGTGACACTGCTGTGTGTAGCTGTGTGTGTGGGGTGTTTGTGACACTGTGTGTGGCTGTGTGTGTGGGGTGTTTGTGACACTGATGTGTGTGGCTGTGTGTGTGGGGTGTTTGTGACACTGTGTGTGTGGCTGTGTGTGTTGGGTGTTTGTGACACTGCTGTGTGTAGCTGTGTGTGTGGGGTGTTTGTGACACTGTGTGTGGCTGTGTGTGTGGGGTGTTTGTGACACTGCTGTGTGTGGCTGTGTGTGGCTCTGCAGGCTCTGGTCTACTACACGTTCGGGGCACTCGGAGGAAACCTGATGGCTCACATGATCCTTGTAAGTGGCAGTCAGCCAAGTTGGGCAGTGTGTGGGACACTGCCTGTGCTGTGTATTTGCGTGTTAAAGTTGCCGTTCATGCAGTATTGTGTGTGCTGTGTGTGTCAGTGTTGCATGTGTGCTGCGTGCAGTGTGTGCTATGTATGCCGTGTGTGTTGTATCAGCGTGTGGTGTGTGTGTGTGCGTGATTTGTATGTTATGTTTGTTGTGTGTGTTGTATGAGTGTGTGGTGCGTGTTTGTGTGCCGCATGTGTTACATTTGCCGTGTGTGGGTTGAATGCGTGCTACGTGCGTGTGCCGTGTGTGTTACTATGTTGAGTGTGTATGCGCTGTGCATGTGCCGTGTGTGTTACTATGTTGAGTGTGTATGCGCTGTGCGTGTGCCGTGTGTGTTACTATGTTGAGTGTGTATGCGCTGTGCGTGTGCCGTGTGTGTTACTATGTTGAGTGTGTATGCGCTGTGCGTGTGCCGTGTGTGTTACTATGTTGAGTGTGTATGCGCTGTGCGTGTGCCGTGTGTGTTACTATGTTGAGTGTGTATGCGCTGTGCGTGTGCCGTGTGTGTTACTATGTTGAGTGTGTATGCGCTGTGCGTGTGCCGTGTGTGTTACCATGTTGAGTGTGTATGCGCTGTGCGTGTGCCGTGTGTGTTACGTATGTTGCGTGTGCGTGCTCGTGCGTGCCGCGTGCGTTGTGCAGGGTTACCGCTACTGGGCGGGTGTCGGGGTTGCTCAGAGCTGCGAGTCGGCACTCACTCACTACCGCACCGTGGCCAACCAAGGTACTCGCGCTGTGCACTCGAGAAGTAAACGCCCCACCCAGCTGCGTGGCTCTTTATCAGAAGCGACCTGCCTGTGACTGTGTGTGTGACTGTGTGTGTGACTGTGTGTGTGACAGTGTGTGTGACTGTGTGTGTGACTGTGTGTGACAGTGTGTGTGTGTGTGTGACTGTGTGTGACTGTGCGACTGACTGTGCATGTGTGGCTGTGTTTGACTGTGTGTGCGTGCCTGTGCGTGACTGTGCGAGACTGTGTGTGTGTGTGTGTGACTGCGTGGCTGTGTGTGACTGCGTGACTGTGTGTGTGTGACTGTGCGTGACTGTGTGTGTCTGTGTGTGACTGTGAGTGACTGTGTGTGTGTGACTGTGCGTGACTGTGTGCAAAACAACCCCCTTCCTCCTCGCGGTGCCGGACGGCCAACTCTGTCGTGGACAGTGCTGTGGGGGGAGCTCCAATTTCGATTGGCTCCTCCCCTCATGGCATCTGTGTCCACCACAGGGGCTTAACGGGGGCTCTGGACAGGTGCGAGGGGCTGGTAACCCCTCCACCTTCAATTAATTACCACTAAACAGCGAATTAAATATATAACTAATAAGCTTGTGCCGGAGGCCCCGGGGGGCCAGGCGTATATGACGTCTCCTGGCCAAACCCGAATTGGCGGAGCCAGGAGATTGAATATCTACCCTCGGGGCTCCTCCAGAAACAATGAAAACCACTACGGGTGGCCACGTAGAATGTTCAAATGCTCACTGCGGAGGAGAGGCTGCCACTCCTCTGTCGGGAGCTGTACCGGTACCGCCTGGATCTATGTGCCATTCAGGAGGTCCGGTGGACCGGTTCTGGCTCCTGCCACCATGAGGGGTGGACAGTCCTCTACTCGGGGCAGCAGACTGCCAAACAACAGGGTGGGGCTCTTCTTTTGAACAAAAGAATGAAGGGGGCGTGGGAGCGTGGCGGTGAGGTGAGGGAAGCTGTAAGCCCCAGGCTACTTTGGGCTCGCCTTCCCATCAACCGGAGGCGAGGAATGGTGGTCGTGGTTACTTATGCCCCCACCGAAGATGAACATCCTTGGAGGGATGCAGGCGAAGCCGTTGAGTCAGATGCCTACTATGACCTCCTGTCACAGGTGCTGGCTAAAGTGGCGCCTCGGGATAGAGTCATCATGTTGGGTGACTTCAATGTTCGAGTTGGTTATGATGCTGGCACCTAGTCTGGAGTGATTGGAGGGCATGGGCCAGATCAGCTCAATAACAACGGTAGGAGGCTGCTAGATTTTTGTGCAGCCCATGGGCTTGTAATTACCAACACGCTGTTCCGGCATCGGCGCATCCACACAACATCATGGATGCATGCCGGGTCCAAGCAAGAACATCTGCTGGACTACATAGTGACAGACCAGCGGATGCGAGCCCATGTCCTTGACACAGGACCTACCGTGGAGCTGATCTGCCCTCTGACCATCGACTAGTCATTTGTAAGATGCGCCTGCCATTCTTCCACTCCGGTGGTGGGTGTACACCCAGGACCCCATTCCAACCTAAAGTGGCCTGGTCTCAGTTATCAGATGAAAGTTGCAAGCGAGAATTTCATCATCGCTTGCGGCTGGGATTGGCATCGTCCCCAACTCCTCCGGATGTCGAGGGTAAATGGGCGAGGTTTAGGACTGTGACTCATGCAGCTGCAATGGCTGCTTTGGGTACACGGTCCAGACCTCCCCAGATACCCTGGCTGACAGAGGAGGTGTTCTGGATGGTTGAGAAAAAGCGACAGGCCCACTGTCATCGGCTACAGAATCCCACGTCAGAGAATGAGGAGGCTTACCGCAGCCTTCGCTCGGAGGTTCGGAGAGCCGTGAGACGCTGCAAGGATGGGTGGTGGTCGCGGGTTGCTGAGGAGATGGAGTCTGCCTCAGTGGCCCGTGATCACAAATTTCTATTTAACTCCATCAAAAAAGTAACCTGCAGCGCCACACCTATTACCATCAGGGGAAAAAACGGTGATCCAATCTCCGATCCCCAGGAGCAGGTTTGCAGATTTGCTGAGCATTTCTGTGAGGTCCTGGAGGAGGGAAAATCCCTCAGCCAGGAAAACATCGTGGCACAAAGTGAGGATGACCCTGCTGAGGCTACGGTGCCTCAAATATTGGAAGAAGTCACCCCCTGTGAATGGCTGGCTGAGATGCCATCTGTTGAGGAAGTGCTGAAGGCGATCCGGAGTCTGAGACCAGGAAAGGCAGCGGGCAGAGATGATCTCCTAAGCGAAATGCTGAGGGAGGGTGGCGTTTGTGCACAGACTGCCCTATATGACATCATAACAACGGTCTGGACCACTGGACAGGTTCCGCAGGATTGGAAGGATGCCCTGGTGGTCCCCCTTTTTAAGTCTGTGCGGTCCCCCTTTTTAAGAAAGGGGACCGCACAGACTGTAACAACTACAGGGGCATCTCACTCCTCAGTGTGCCGGGAAAGGTTCTGGAAAGGATTATTTAACATCGCCTTGCCAGGCACGTCGAGGAGAGGCTTGCGGAGCCCCAATGCGGTTTCAGGAAAGGGCGGTCCTGCACAGATGCCATATTTTCTGTCCGTCTGCTACAGCAGAGGTGTAGGGAATTCCAACAAGACCTACATCTCTGCTTTATTGACCTGGTCAAGGCCTATGATACCATCAGTAGGCCTGGGCTCTGGGTTGTTCTTCGTGCTTTTGGAGTACCTGACCCTCTGCTCACGGTCATGAAGGACCTTCATGATGGTGAGTGGGCCCGGGTAAAACTACGTGGCCGGGAGTCAGCCATTCCCTGTACACCTTGGGGTGCGACAGGGATGTCCTCTGGCTCCCACATTATTTAACATCTATTTTGACCACGTAGTTGGTGAAGCCTTCAATAGCTGTACCGGGGGAATCTCCATATGGTACAGATATAATGGGAGGCTGATTTATGCCCGGGTGCGGTCAAGGGATGGCTCCCTATTGCTCAACCACGTTATGTATGCTGATGATTTGGTAATAGCTGCTCATTCAGAGGAGGAGTTGGAGACGCTGCTGCTGAGACTTGAGTGTGCCACTAAGAGGTGGGGCCTTACCATCAGCCCCACCAAAACTAAGCACCTGCCTGGGCATTTTGTACCATTGGACACTGCACCCACCCAACTCACAATCGGTGATGGGGCAGTTGTGGAGAGAGTGGAGAGTTTCCGATACCTGGGCAGTGTGCTTATGACCGGCTCCAGTTTAACAACACTCCGAATCAGTCGAGCGGCAATATCTTTTCATCGGTTGCGTAACGCTGTGTGGAAGCTACCTGGTCTGTCGCTCCGCACTAAGCTTCAGGTCTTCTCGGCCACGGTCATTCCCTCCCTTCTCTACGCTTGCGATACGTGGACCCCCCTAATGGAACATCTTCGCCGGTTAGAAACATTTAGGCTGGCCTACCTACGATCTATCCTGGGTTTAACCAGACTGGATTGTGTGAGGAGCTCACAAATCCTTGAAAGATCTGGGCAAGGTCCCATCGGTGAGCTCCTCCGGCGGGCAAGGCTGCGATGGCTGGGTCATGTAGCCCGCATGCCCAGCCACCGCATGCCGAAACAGCTTTTGTTCGGCCGGATTGAGGCGGATAAACGGGCGCGGCACGGGCTAGAGAAGAGATGGAGTGATGTGGTACAGGAGGACGTGGAGCTGAGTGGAATTGCCGATGACTGGTACCAGCAGTCTCAAGATCGGCCTCTGTGGAGGAGGCTCGTGAAGGACGCTACTGGGCAGTTGGAGGCAGTCGCCCTCCAAAAACAACGGAGGGCGGAGGAGCGACGCTCACAACGAGCGGAGCGCCGGGTGGCTGAAGCACAGCGGGTTAGCACAGCAGGGGGCACAGGTGGTGCATCAGCCAGTCATCTCAGTCAGTCGATCCGTGGCACCTGGGTCTGCCCTGTGACCTCCTGCCAGCGGGCGTTCGGCACTTCACGTGGCCTCAGGGTGCACATAGCCTGGCACAAGCGTCGTGGTGACGTTACTGCCACTTAGTGGTGAATGGCGGTTGTTGTTGTTGTTTGTGACTGTGCGTGACTGTGCGTGTGTGACTGTGCGTGACTGTGTGTGTGTGACTGTGCGTGACTGTGCGTGTGTGACTCTGTGTGTGTGACTCTGTGTGTGTGACTGTGTGTGTGTGACTGTGCGTGACTGTGTGTGCGTGACTGTGTGTGCATGACTGTGTGTGCGTGACTGTGCATGACTGTGTGTGTGTGACTGTGCGTGACTGTGTGTGTGACTGTGCGTGACTGTGTGTGTGACTGTGTGTGACTGTGTGCGTGACTGTGCGTGACTGTGTGTGTGTGACTGTGTGTGACTGTGTGTGTGTGACTGTGTGTGCGTGACTGTGTGTGTGTGACTGTGTGTGCGTGACTGTGTGTGACTGTGTGTGACTGTGCGTGACTGTGTGCGTGACTGCGTGACTGTGTGTGCGTGACTGTGCGTGACTGTGCGTGACTGTGTGTGTGACTGTGCGTGACTGTGTGTGCGTGACTGTGTGCGTGACTGTGCGTGACTGTGTGTGCGTGACTGTGCGTGACTGTGTGTGTGACTGTGTGTGTGACTGTGCGTGACTGTGTGTGCGTGACTGTGTGTGTGACTCTGTGTGTGACTGTGTGTGACTGTGTGTGCGTGACTGTGTGCGTGACTGTGTGTGTGACTGTGTGTGCGTGACTGCGTGACTGTGTGTGTGACTGTGTGTGACTGTGTGTGACTGTGCGTGACTGTGTGTGTGACTGTGTGTGACTGTGCGTGACTGTGTGTGTGACTCTGTGTGTGACTGTGTGTGACTGTGTGTGCGTGACTGTGTGCGTGACTGTGTGTGTGACTGTGTGTGACTGTGCGTGACTGTGTGTGACCGTAGTGGCGAGTGACATCTCTCTGACGGGCGGCTCGGTGGTGCAGCGGATCCGTCTGCTGGACGAGGCCGAGTCCCCCGGCTCCAGCTCAGCCATGCTGGACGACGACCTCATCCAGTACTACCAGTTCCTCGCCGAGAAGGGCGACGTGCAGGCGCAGGTGCGATCGCCCGCTCGCTCGCCCGCCCGCTCACTCTTCTGCTCGCTTGCCCTCACTCGCCCGCCCGCTCTTCTAATCGCCCTCTCGCCAACTCGGTCGCCCGTCTGTGTGTCCCCGTGTCCCCCGTCATGACCAGGTGGGGTTGGGCCAGTTGCACCTGCAGGGCGGCCGAGGGGTTGAGCAGAACTTCCAGGTGAGGGTGCTGCGTGAGCCTCTGTGTGAGTCTGTGGGTATCTGTGTGAGTCTGTGGGTCTCTGTGTGAGTCTGTGGGTCTCTGTGTGAGCCTGTGGGTCTCTGTGTGAGTCTGTGGGTCTCTGCGTGAGCCTGTGGGTCTCTGTGTGAGCCTGTGGGTCTCTGTGTGAGTCTGTGGGTCTCTGTGTGAGTCTGTGGGTCTCTGTGTGAGTCTGTGGGTCTCTGCGTGAGCCTGTGGGTCTCTGCGTGAGCCTGTGAGTCTCTGTGTGAGTCTGTGGGTCTCTGTGTGAGTCTGTGGGTCTCTGTGTGAGTCTATGGGTCTCTGTGTGAGTCTATGGGTCTCTGTGTGAGTCTGTGGGTCTCTGTGTGAGTCTGGGTCTCCGTGTCATTACAGAAAGCATTTGACTACTTCCGGCAAGCGGCGGGCTCCGGAAATGGCAACGCGCTGGCATTCCTTGGCAAGGTGGGGCGCCACCACCACTACCATCACCACCACTATCTTCACCACCACTACCTTCACCACCACTACCATCACCACCACTACCATCACCACTACCACCACCACCACTACCATCACCACCACTACCATCACCACCACCACCACCACTACCATCACTACCATCACCACCACTACCATCACCACCACTACCACCACCAGCACTACCACCACCACCACTACCATCTCCACCACTACCATCACCACCACCACTACCATCACCACCACTATCACCATTACCACCACCACTACCATCACCACTACCATCACCACTACTATCACCACTACCACCACCACTACCATCACCACTACCATCACCACCACTACCATCACCACTACCATCACCACCACTACCATCACCACTACCACCACCACTATCATCACAACTACCACCACCACCACTACCATTACCACCACTACCATCACCACTGCCACCAATACCATCACCACTACCACCACCACCACTACCATCACTACCATCACTACCACCACTACCATCACCACTACCACCACTACCATCACCACTACCACCACTACCATCACCACCACTACCACCACTACCATCACCACCACTACCATCACCACCACTACCATCACCACCACTACCATCACCACCACTACCATCACCACCACTATCACCACCACCACTACCATCACCACCACTATCACCACCACCACTACCATCACCACCACTACCATCACCACCACTACCATCACCACCACCACCATAACACCACCACCATTACCAACAACCCTACCAACAGCACTACCACCACTATCACCACCACTACCATCACCACCACTACCATCACTACTACCACCACTAACATCACCACCATTACCAACAACCCTACCAACAGCACTACCACTATCACCACCACTACCATCACCACTACCACCACCACTAACACCACCACCACCACTAACACCACCACCATTACCAACAACCCTACCAATAGCACTACCACCACCACTATCACCACCACTACCATCACCACCACTACCATCGCCACTACCACCGCCACCACTAACACCACCAACATTACCAACAACCATACCAATAGCACTACCACCACCACTATCACCACCACTACCCGCCAGGCACTTTGAGGCCACGTGAAGTGTCAAAGGCTTGCTGATAGGAGGTCACGGGACAGACCCAGGTGCCGTGGGTTGACTGACATGACTGGCAGATGCCCCCTGTTGTGCATCAGTCCACCTCTTCTCTCGCCCGTGTCGTGCCCATTTAGCCCCCTCTCTCCAGCCAAACAGAAACTGCTTGGGCATGCGGTTGCTGGGCATGCAGGCTACGTGACCCAGGCAACACAGCCTTGCTTGCAGGAGGAGCTCACCGATGGGAATGGGTCTAGATCTTTCAAGGATTTGTAAACTCCAGTCTGGTTAAACCCAGGATGGAGCTCAGGCCAGCCTGAATGTTTCCAACCGGTGCAGATGTTCCATTAGAGGGGTCCACGTTTCACAAGCATAGAGAAGGGAGGGCATGACTGTGGCCCAGAAGGCCCGAAGCTTCGTGTGGAGCCACAGACCGGGTAGCTTCCACAGTGTTAATCAGCCGATGAAAATATAATGGTGCCCGATTGACTCGGAGAGAGACCTCTGCTGTCAAACCGGAGCTGGTTATAAGCACACTGCTCAGGTATGGGAAACTCTCTCCACAACTGCTCCATCACCAATGGGGAGTTGAGGGTGGAGTGTTTGGTGGCACAAAATAGCCAGGTTATTGCACTTCGCTGAGAACCCGACGACCCGAGTTTGATGCCCGCTCACGGCCAACAGTAGTGACTCAGCCTCAAAATGAGTACCTGGTGCAGTGTGTAAACATCGTCACTAGGGAGACAAAGGCGGCCGGGCATGTTGCTGGCTACCCCACCCCCTCTTGTGCCGCAGTACCGGCCTTCATAGGTGCTCGCTAACAGCACTTGCCCCGACAGTCTGTTAAGGCTACACGGGGGACCTTTGTCTTTGTGTGTAGATGCACTCAGAAGGCTCGGACGTGGTCCCCCAGAACAACGAGACGGCGTTCCAGTACTTCAAGAAGGCGGCCGACATGGTGAAGATCTCCCCTCCCCTCTCCCCTCTCCCTTCTCCCCCCCTCCCCTCTCTCCCCCTCTCTCCCCCTCTCCCCTCCTTCCCGTGTTTATATCTCTGTGTTTATATCTCTGTGTGTGTATCTCCGTATGCTTACCTCCGTGTGTACAGTGAGGGAAAAAAAGTATTTGATCCCCTGCTGATTTTGTACGTTTGCCCACTGACAAATAAATGATCAGTCTATAATTTTAATGGTAGGTTTATTTGAACAGTGAGAGACAGAATAACAACAACAAAAATCCGTGTCTTCTTACATATCTGCTTGCGTATCTCCGTGCGTATCTCCGTGCGTATCTCCGTGCGTATCTCCGTATGTATATCTCTGTGCCTATCTCCGTCTGCTTATTTGCGTGTGCGTTTCTTCGTGTGTATCTCCGTCTGTATCTCTCTGTATATTTCTGTGTGTGTATCTCCATGTGTATCTCCGTGCGTATCTCCGTGTGTATCTCCGTGCATATCTCCGTGTGTATCTCTCTGTGTATCTGCGTGTGTATCTCCGTGTGTATCTCCGTGTGTTTCTCTCTGTGTATCTGCGTGTGTATCTCCGTGTGTATCTCCGTGTGTTTCTCTCTGTGTATCTGCGTGTGTATCTCCGTGTGTATCTCCGTGTGTTTCTCTCTGTGTATCTGCGTGTGTATCTCCGTGTGTATCTCCGTGTGTATCTCTCTGTGTATCTGCGTGTGTATCTCCGTGCGTATCTCCGTGTGTTTCTCTCTGTGTATCTGCGTGTGTATCTCCGTGTGTATCTCCGTGTGTTTCTCTCTGTGTATCTGCGTGTGTATCTCCGTGTGTATCTCCGTGTGTATCTCTCTGTGTATCTGCGTGTGTATCTCCGTGCGTATCTCCGTGTGTTTCTCTCTGTGTATCTGCGTGTGTATCTCCGTGTGTATCTCCGTGTGTATCTCCGTGTGTATCTCCGTGTGTTTCTCTCTGTGTATCTGCGTGTGTATCTCCGTGCGTATCTCCGTGTGTTTCTCTCTGTGTATCTGTGTGTGTATCTCCGTGTGTATCTCCGTGTGTTTCTCTCTGTGTATCTGTGTGTGTATCTCCGTGCGTATCTCCGTGTGTTTCTCTCTGTGTATCTGCGTGTGTATCTCCGTGCGTATCTCCGTGTGTTTCTCTCTGTGTATCTGCGTGTGTATCTCCGTGCGTATCTCCGTGTGTTTCTCTCTGTGTATCTGCGTGTGTATCTCTGTGTGTGTGTGCTGCAGGGCAACCCCGTGGGGCAGAGTGGGCTGGGCATGGCGTACTTGTTTGGCCGCGGCGTGCCAATCGTGAGTCCCCACCGTGCCAGCGAGCGCCCAGCCCGCGCCGCCACCCGCCACTAGCGACGGGCCCCGCGCCGCCGCTCCCCACCACGATCGCCGGCAGCTCGCTCGGCCGCCTGTGGGCCGCTTTGTCCGAGCGAGCGGTTTCGCCGCGTGGTACCCATGCGGCGGGGCTCACTCGCGTGTGTGTGTGTCTGTGTGTGTGTGTCTGTGTGTGTGTGTCTGTGTGTGTCTGTGTGTGTGTGTCTGTGTGTGTCTGTGTGTGTGTGTATGTCTGTGTGTATGTCTGTGTGTGTCTGTGTGTGTCTGTGTGTGTGTGTGTCTGTGTGTGTCTGTGTGTGTGTGTCTGTGTGTGTCTGTGTGTGTGTATGTCTGTGTGTATGTCTGTGTGTCTGTGTGTGTGTGTCTGTTTGTGTGTGTCTGTGTGTGTGTGTGTGTGTCTGTGTGTGTGTCTGTGTGTGTGTGTCTGTGTGTGTGTCTGTGTGTCTGTGTGTGTGTGTATGTCTGTGTGTATGTCTGTGTGTCTGTGTGTGTGTGTGTCTGTTTGTGTGTGTGTGTCTGTGTGTGTTTGTGTGTGTCTGTGTGTGTGTGTATGTCTGTGTGTATGTCTGTGTGTGTGTGTTTGTGTGTGTGTGTTTGTGTGTGTCTATGTGTGTGTCTGTGTGGGTGTGTGTGTCTGTGTCTGTGTGTGTGTGTGTCTGTGTGGGTGTGTGTGTCTGTGTGTCTGTGTGTGTGTGTGTCTGTGTGTGTCTGTGTGTGTGTGTGTTTGTGTGTGTGTCTGTGTGTGTGTCTGTGTGTGTGTGTCTGTGTGTGTGTCTGTGTGTGTGTCTGTGTGTGTGTGTCTGTGTGTGTGTGTCTGTTTGTGTGTCTGTGTGTGTGTCTGTGTGTGTCTGTGTGTGTTTGTTTGTGTGTCTGTGTGTGTCTGTGTGCGTGTGTGCGTGTCTGTGTGTGTGTGTCTGTCTGTGTGTGTCTGTGTGTGTGTGTGTCTGCGTGTGTGTGTGTCTGTGTGTCTGTGTGCGTGTGTGTGTGTGTGTCTGTGTGTGTCTGTGTGCATGTGTGTGTCTGTATGTGTGTGTGTGCGTGTGTGTGTGTCTGTGTGCGTGTGTGTGTGTGTGTCTGTATGTGTCTGTGTGCGTGTGTGTGTGTGTGTCTGTATGTGTCTGTGTGCGTGTGTGTGTCTGTGTGTGTCTGTGTGCGTGTGTGCGTGTCTGTGTGTGTGTGTCTGTCTGTGTGTGTTTGTGTGTGTCTGTGTGTGTGTGTCTGTCTGTGTGTGTGTGTGTGTGCGTGTGTGTCTGTGCGTGTGTGTGTGTGTCTGTGTGTGTCTGTGTGCATGTGTGTGTCTGTATGTGTGTGTGTGTGCGTGTGTGTGTGTGTGTCTGTGTGCGTGTGTGTGTGTGTGTCTGTATGTGTCTGTGTGCGTGTGTGTGTGTCTGTATGTGTCTGTGTGCGTGTGTGTGTCTGTGTGCGTGTGTGTGTGAAACGTGGACCCCCCTAACCGTGGACCCCCCGAATGAAACATCTTCGTGGGTTAGAAACATTGAGGCTGGCCTGCCTACGATCCATCCTGGGTTTAGCCAAGTTGGATCGTGTGAGGAGCGCACAAATCCTTGCAAGATCTGGACACAGTCCCATCAGTGAGCTCTTCCGGCAGGCAATCCTGCGCTGGCTGGGTCATGGAGCCCACATGCCCAAACAGCTTTTGTTTGGCCGGATAGATGGGGCACAAATGGGCGCTGCACGGGCTAGAGAAGAGATGGAGTGATGTGGTACAAGAGAATGTGGAGCTGAGTGGGCTTGCCGATGACTGGTAACAGCGGTGTCAAGATCGCCATTTCTGGAGGAGGCTCGTGAAGGACGCTGCTGCTACTGGGCAGAGGAGCAACGCTCACAACAACGAGCGGAGTCCCGGGTGGATAAAAACACATAAAGTTTGCACAGTAGAGGGCACAAGTGGTGCATCAGCCAGTCATCTCAGTCAGTCTACCCGTGGCACCTGGGTCTGCCCCATGACCTGCCAGCGGGCGTTCGACACTTCACATGGCCTTAACATGCACATAGCTTGGCACAAGTGCCGTGGTGACGTCACCACCACTTAGTGGAGAATGGTCGGTTGTTGTTGTGTCTGTCTGTGTATGCGTGTGTTTGCATCTGTGAGTGCGTGCGCGTGCGCGTGTGCGTCTCTGTGTGCATCTGTGTGTGCGTCTGCGTGTGTGTCTGCGTGTGCGTGTGTGTCTGTGTGTGTCTGTGTGTGTGTCTGTGTGTGCGTACATTTGTGTGTGTGTGTGTGTCTGTGTACGTCTGCGTGTGTGTGTCTGTGTGTGTGTGTGTACGTATGCGGTGTTTGCCGGTAGCTCGGCAGGTGGCTGTTTAAGATGCCCCCACCGGTGTCGCCGCTGGTGGCGGTGGTGGCCACGCTGCTGCTGCATGCGGCTTGCCTTGCCACCCACTGTCTGTGGAGGCATAGCAGTGAGGGTTGGTGGATCACGTGGAGATTGTGTTACGAAACTCCCTTCTACCCCGTGGGTGGGAGTAAAGAGGGAACCGTACCCCTGACTGCCAGGAGAAGGTGGTACAGCAGAGTGCGGACTAATCTCCATCTGTCCCTTCTGAATGGGATAGAGTGCTGCCCCCTCGCACGCGTGGGTTTCCTTCGGGTGCTCCCTTCTTTTCTCGCGTGTATTAACACTCACTAAATTGGCCGAAAACATCTTAATGCGTAGAGGACTGCAGAGCTTTGGACAATCGTTGTTAGCGCCAGGCTCCTCGCCGCCTGCCTACTGCTGCTGCTGCTCTCCCGCTCGTCTGCGAAATTCCTCGGTGACTGAGAGACCCTTCGCAAGAACGACGACGACGCAATTATGTCCAGCCACGACAATAACCGTAACGCTACGTGGCTAGGTTATCGTTCATTACCGACGGTCTCGCAAGGCACCAATGCAGTTCGTTGTTCTCTCCCCCCCGGTGAAATTCTCGAGAATTTGCCGCTTCTCCACGATGGGGTGGGGGTTGCGGAGGGCGCTTACAAACTGCGCCACAATTCAGATTCCTAACAGCCCCAGTCGTGTTTCGTAAACAAGCGACAGCAGCGGTAGCGGCAGTGATGGCGGTAATCAACAACAACAACAACAATAATCACCACCACCACCGTTGTGTCTGCGCATGCCTCTGCCCCGTCACAGAACTATGACCTGGCCTTCAAGTACTTCCAGATGGCGGCGGAGCAGGGTTGGGTGGACGGGCAGCTGCAGCTGGGCACCATGTACTACAGTAAGATAACGATCCCCCCGTAGCCTCTGCAGACTGTAGGGGGCAAGTGCCTTTGAAGGCCGGCACGGCACACGAGGTGGGTGGGTGGCCAGCACCACGCCCGCCCGCCTTTGTCTCCCCAGTGGCGATGTTTACTGCACACCGCATCGGTGGCGATGTTTAATGCACACCGCATCAGGTACCCATTTGAGTCAAACTAGTGGAGGCCCAAGGAACGGTTCACAAAATGGTCACTGGTGTATCGGTGGTGGCCGTGAGTGGGAATGGAACTCGGGTGGCCGGCTTCGTACCGCGGCGTGCTCACCGCTGCACCACCGCTCCCCACTGTGAGAAGCGCACGCACACCGCACAGAGAGACAAAGGTTGCCCCCGTGTCGCTCGCACAGGCTGTCGAAGCACGTGCTCTCAGCGAGTAGCACCTGTGAAGGCCAGCACGGCACAGCACCTATGGGAGGATGGTTTGGTTTGGCCAGCACCATGCCCAGCCGCCTTTGTCTCCCCCGTGGCCGTGTTTACACACTGTTCCGAATGCTGATTTTATGGCTCGGTTCACCTAGGGGAGGCACCAGGACCGGTTCAGATATTTGTCACCGATGTTGTACGTGAGCGGGAATTGAACTCGGGTCGCCGGGTTCGTCAAGCAGTGGTGCTGGACACCCACCCCCTCGTGTGCCGTGCCGGCCTTCATCGGCGCTCGACAACTATAAAAACAATCTACAAACTCTTTTTATTTTACCAGGTAAGGCCCACTGAGCTCTGTATAGACCTTTTCCAAATGCGACCGGGCCGCAAATAACTTGCCAACCAAAAGGCTGATCGTCATCGTGTGGACATTTTTAGCAGCCAAATTACTCCGAACGCGCAATGCTGATTCTAAATGTGGAGGTAAAAACCAAAGGACACGGAGAAAAATCCACGCAACCACGGCGAGAGAGAGCGAGACACGCAAACTCCAAATATACAGCAGGCGTCTGCGTCGGGATTGACCCCTCGACCTCCTGTATACCAGGCGAGGGAGTTAACATCTCTCCACCGCGTCGCCCCAACAGTGTGTGGCGGCTACACGGCTGGGATCTTTGTCTTTGTGTGTGGCAGACGGGCTGGGCGTGCGCCGGGACTACAAGATGGCCATCAAGTACTTCAACCTGGCGTCGCAGTCGGGCCACGTGCTCGCCTTCTACAACCTCGCTCAGATGCACGCCACGGGCACCGGCGTCATCCGCTCCTGCCACACAGCCGTGGAGGTGCCCCCCACACCACCGCTACCGCCCACCACAACACCACCCACCGCCACTGCCGCCGACCGACGCCACCCATCGCCAACCTCTGCTTTTGTGTCTCCACGCACGTGCGTGTTTGTACCTGCGTGCGTGCGTCCCAGCTGTTCAAGAACGTGTGCGAGCGGGGCCGCTGGGCGGAGCGCATGATGGGCGCGTACGGCGCGTACCGCGAGGGCAACGTGGACGCGGCGCTCGTGCGCTACCTGCTGCTGTCTGAGCAGGGCTACGAGGTGGCGCAGAGCAACGCCGCCTTCATCCTCGACCGCAGTGCGTCCCCCCCACCCCCCCCGATCCCTCCCCACCCCCCGTCCCCTCCTCCCCCTCGTCAAGAAACTCCTCACCACCACCACCACCCTCCTCCTCCTCCGACAAAAAAACAAAGTCCTAAATAATTTTTATTTTAGCAGGAGTAAGGCCCCACCGAGCTGTGTGGCTGTTTTCAGAAGCGATCGCGAATGAGAGCTCAACGAAGTGGAGGCTTATTATCGTCGTCGTCATCATCATCGCGTGGAAATGTTTTGCAGCCAAAGTACTCGCGCAACGTTGATTCTAAACTTGGAAGGAAGAACCAGAGAAAAATCCATGTGACCCTGGGGAGAGAGAGAGAGAGAGACAACATGCAAACTCCAAATATGCAGCAGGTTAAATTTTGATTTAAAGCTTTTGAGACGGCAGGGATTCATGTTCTTGGTTCTTTCGATAAAGTCACGTAGAAGGGAAACAATAAAATAATACTAATATAAAACAGTACAATTCTCACGACATTTGGACTGCAACACAAGCAATCGTCATCAGGTGTGGTTTATATTTTTATTATTTTATTGTTTCCCTTCTTTGTGACTTTACCGAAAGAACCAATAATACACAGCAGGTGTCAGGATCGGGACTGGACCCACGGCCTCCTGTATACCAGGCAAGGGAGTTAACATCTCCGAGCCACCGTGGCACCCTTGATTTTAGGTGGCACCCTTGCAAGAAGGGTCTGGGTTCTATTCCCGATTCGTTCTTCTCTCTGTGTGTGGAGTTTGTATTCTCTCTGTGTGTGGAGTTTGTATTATCTCTGTGTGTGGAGTTTGTATTCTCTCTGTGTGTGGAGTTTGTATTCTCTGTGTGTGGAGTTTGTATTCTCTCTGTGTGTGGAGTTTGTATTCTCTGTGTGTGGAGTTTGTATTCTCTCTGTGTGTGGAGTTTGTATTCTCTGTGTGTGTGGAGTTTGTATTCTCTCTGTGTGTGGAGTTTGTATTCTCTCTGTGTGTGGAGTTTGTATTCTCTGTGTGTGTGGAGTTTGTAGTCTCTCTGTGTGTGGAGTTTGTAGTCTCTCTGTGTGGAGTTTGTATTCTCTCTGTGTGTGGAGTTTGTAATCTCTCTGTGTGTGGAGTTTGTAATCTCTCTGTGTGTGGAGTTTGTAATCTCTCTGTGTGTGGAGTTTTTATTCTCTCTGTGTGTGGAGTTTGTATTCTCTCTGTGTGTGGAGTTTGTAGTCTCTCTGTGTGTGGAGTTTGTATTCTCTCTGTGTGTGGAGTTTGTATTCTGTCTGTGTGTGGAGTTTGTATTCTCTCTGTGTGTGGAGTTTGTATTCTCTCTGTGTGTGGAGTTTGTATTATCTCTGTGTGTGGAGTTTGTATTCTCTCTGTGTGTGGAGTTTGTATTATCTCTGTGTGTGGAGTTTGTATTCTCTCTGTGTGTGGAGTTTGTATTCTCTCTGTGTGTGGAGTTTGTATTCTCTCTGTGTGTGGAGTTTGTATTCTCTCTGTGTGTGGAGTTTGTATTCTGTCTGTGTGTGGAGTTTGTATTCTCTCTGTGTGTGGAGTTTGTATTCTCTCTGTGTGTGGAGTTTGTATTTTCTCTGTGTGTGGAGTTTGTATTATCTCTGTGTGTGGAGTTTGTATTCTCTCTGTCTGTGGAGTTTGTATTATCTCTGTGTGTGGAGTTTGTATTCTCTCTGTGTGTGGAGTTTGTATTCTCTCTGTGTGTGGAGTTTGTATTCTCTCTGTGTGTGGAGTTTGTATTCTCTCTGTGTGTGGAGTTTGTATTCTCTCTGTGTGTGGAGTTTGTATTCTCTCTGTGTGTGGAGTTTGTATTCTCTCTGTGTGTGGAGTTTGTATTCTCTCTGTGTGTGGAGTTTGTAGTCTCTCTGTGTGTGGAGTTTGTATTCTCTCTGTGTGTGGAGTTTGTATTCTGTCTGTGTGTGGAGTTTGTATCTCTCTCTGTGTGTGGAGTTTGTATTCTCTCTGTGTGTGGAGTTTGTATTCTCTCTGTGTGTGGAGTTTGTATTCTCTCTGTGTGTGGAGTTTGTATTCTGTCTGTGTGTGGAGTTTGTATTCTCTCTGTGTGTGGAGTTTGTATTCTCTCTGTGTGTGGAGTTTGTATTCTCTCTGTGTGTGGAGTTTGTATTCTCTCTGTGTGTGGAGTTTGTATTCTGTCTGTGTGTGGAGTTTGTATTATCTCTGTGTGTGGAGTTTGTATTCTCTCTGTGTGTGGAGTTTGTATTCTCTCTGTGTGTGGAGTTTGTATTCTCTCTGTGTGTGGAGTTTGTATTCTCTCTGTGTGTGGAGTTTGTATTCTCTCTGTGTGTGGAGTTTGTATTCTCTCTGTGTGTGGAGTTTGTATTCTCTCTGTGTGTGGAGTTTGTATTCTCTCTGTGTGTGGAGTTTGTATTCTCTCTGTGTGTGGAGTTTGTATTCTCTCTGTGTGTGGAAGTTTGTATTCTCTCTCGTGTGTGGAGTTTGCGTATTCCTCTCTGTGTTGTGGAGTTTGTATTGCCTCTCTGTGTGTCGGAGTTTGTATTTCTGTCTGTTGTGTGAGTATTTGTATTCTCTCTGTGATGTGGAGTTTGTATTCTCTCTGTGTGTGGAGTTGTATTTCCTCTCTGTGTGTGGGAGTTTGTATGTATCTCTGTGTGTGGAGGTTTGTATGCTCTCTGTGTGTTGGAGATTTGTTATTATCTCTGTGTGTGAAGTTTGTATTCTCTCTGTGTGTGGAGTTGTATTCTCATCTGGTGTAGGAGTTTGTATTCTTCTGTTGATGTGAGTTTTGTATTCCTCTGTGTGCTGGAGTTTGTATTCTCTCTGTGTGTGGAGTTTGTATTATCTCTGTGTGTGAGTTTGTATTCTCTCTGTGTGTGGAGTTTGTATTACTCTCTGTGTGTGGAGTTTTATTCTCTCTGTGTGTGAGTTTGTATTCTCTCTGTGTGTGGAGTTTGTATTCGTCTCTGTGTTGGAGTTTGTATTCTCTCTGTGTGTGGAGTTTGTATTCTGTCTCGTGTGTGGATGTGTATTCTCTTCTGTGTGTGAGTTTGTATTCTTTCTGTGTGTGGAGTTTAGTATTATCTCTGTGTGTGGATGTTTGTATTCTCTTCTGTGTCTGTGGGAGTTTGTATTATCTCTGTGTGTGGAGTTTGGAGTTTGTATTCTCTCTGTTGTGTGGAGTTTTGTATTCTCTCTGTGTGTGGAGTTTTTATTCTCTCTGTGTGTGGAGTTTGTATTCTCTCTGTGTGTGGAGTTTGTATTCTCTCTGTGTGTGGAGTTTGTATTCTCTCTGTGTGTGGAGTTTGTATTCTCTCTCCCGGGGTTCTCCCCTTTCCTCCCGTAGCTGAACTCGCATGCACAGTGTAATCGGTATCAGCCAAACATCCCAATTCTACAACATCGTCTGCAAATCACTCAATTGGGATCACACGAAGCAGAGGCAGCGACAGGAGCAGCATCGCCGCCCTGCTGCGAGTACACGGCAGGAGCCTCCGAGGCTCAGGCCTTGATGGGGGAGGGCGCCGAATCGCAAACAACGAGACGGCGACGCCACGCGCTGGCGCGGGCTGCACGGCGCCAGCCCCAGATGGCGCTGCCAGGCTCCACGCTTACCACCTGCCAGGCTCCAGGCTCCACACTTACCACCTGCCAGGCTCCAGGCTCCACGCTTACCACCTGCCAGGCTCCAGGCTCCACGCTTACCACCTGCCAGGCTCCAGGCTCCAGGCTTACCACCTGCCAGGCTCCAGGCTCCACGCTTACCACCTGCCAGGCTCCAGGCTCCACACTTACCACCTGCCAGGCTCCAGGCTTACCACCTGCCAGGCTCCACGCTTACCACCTGCCAGGCTCCAGGCTCCAGGCTTACCACCTGCCAGGCTCCACGCTTACCACCTGCCAGGCTCCACGCTTACCACCTGCCAGGCTCCACGCTTACCACCTGCCAGGCTCCAGGCTCCACACTTACCACCTGCCAGGCTCCACGCTTACCACCTGCCAGGCTCCAGGCTCCAGGCTTACCACCTGCCAGGCTCCAGGCTCCACGCTTACCACCTGCCAGGCTCCAGGCTCCAGGCTTACCACCTGCCAGGCTCCAGGCTCCAGGCTTACCACCTGCCAGGCTCCAGGCTCCAGGCTCCAGGCTTACCACCTGCCAGGCTCCAGGCTTACCACCTGCCAGGCTCCAGGCTCCACGCTTACCACCTGCCAGGCTCCAGGCTCCAGACTTACCACCTGCCAGGCTCCACGCTTACCACCTGCCAGGCTCCAGGCTCCACACTTACCACCTGCCAGGCTCCAGGCTTACCACCTGCCAGGCTCCAGGCTCCACGCTTACCACCTGCCAGGCTCCACGCTTACCACCTGCCAGGCTCCAGGCTCTACGCTTACCACCTGCCAGGCTCCAGGCTTACCACCTGCCAGGCTCCACGCTTACCACCTGCCAGGCTCCAGGCTCCACACTTACCACCTGCCAGGCTCCAGGCTTACCACCTGCCAGGCTCCAGGCTCCACGCTTACCACCTGCCAGGCTCCACGCTTACCACCTGCCAGGCTCCACGCTTACCACCTGCCAGGCTCCAGGCTCCACACTTACCACCTGCCAGGCTCCAGGCTTACCACCTGCCAGGCTCCACGCTTACCACCTGCCAGGCTCCAGGCTCCAGGCTTACCACCTGCCAGGCTCCAGGCTCCACGCTTACCACCTGCCAGGCTCCACGCTTACCACCTGCCAGGCTCCACGCTTACCACCTGCCAGGCTCCACGCTTACCACCTGCCAGGCTCCAGGCTTACCATCTGCCAGGCTCCAGGCTTACCACCTGCCAGGCTCCAGGCTCCACGCTTACCACCTGCCAGGCTCCACGCTTACCACCTGCCAGGCTCCAGGCTCCACACTTACCACCTGCCAGGCTCCACGCTTACCACCTGCCAGGCTCCACGCTTACCACCTGCCAGGCTCCAGGCTCCACGCTTACCACCTGCCAGGCTCCAGGCTCCAGGCTTACCACCTGCCAGGCGCCAGGCTCCAGGCTTACCACCTGCCAGGCTCCACGCTTACCACCTGCCAGGCTCCAGGCTCCACGCTTACCACCTGCCAGGCTCCAGGCTCCAGGCTTACCACCTGCCAGGCTCCAGGCTCCAGGCTTACCACCTGCCAGGCTCCAGGCTCCAGGCTTACCACCTGCCAGGCTCCACGCTTACCACCTGCCAGGCTCCAGGCTCCACGCTTACCACCTGCCAGGCCCCAGGCTCCACGCTTACCACCTGCCAGGCTCCAGGCTCCAGACTTACCACCTGCCAGGCTCCACGCTTACCACCTGCCAGGCTCCAGGCTCCAGACTTACCACCTGCCAGGCTCCACGCTTACCACCTGCCAGGCTCCAGGCTCCACACTTACCACCTGCCAGGCTCCAGGCTTACCACCTGCCAGGCTCCAGGCTCCACGCTTACCACCTGCCAGGCTCCACGCTTACCACCTGCCAGGCTCCAGGCTCCACGCTTACCACCTGCCAGGCTCCAGGCTTACCACCTGCCAGGCTCCACGCTTACCACCTGCCAGGCTCCAGGCTCCACGCTTACCACCTGCCAGGCTCCAGGCTTACCACCTGCCAGGCTCCACGCTTACCACCTGCCAGGCTCCAGGCTCCACACTTACCACCTGCCAGGCTCCACGCTTACCACCTGCCAGGCTCCAGGCTCCACACTTACCACCTGCCAGGCTCCACGCTTACCACCTGCCAGGCTCCAGGCTCTACGCTTACCACCTGCCAGGCTCCACGCTTACCACCTGCCAGGCTCCACGCTTACCACCTGCCAGGCTCCAGGCTCCACGCTTACCACCTGCCAGGCTCCAGGCTCCAGGCTTACCACCTGCCAGGCTCCAGGCTCCAGGCTTACCACCTGCCAGGCTCCAGGCTCCAGGCTCCAGGCTTACCACCTGCCAGGCTCCACGCTTACCACCTGCCAGGCTCCAGGCTCCAGACTTACCACCTGCCAGGCTCCACGCTTACCACCTGCCAGGCTCCAGGCTCCAGACTTACCACCTGCCAGGCTCCACGCTTACCACCTGCCAGGCTCCACACTTACCACCTGCCAGGCCCCAGGCTCCAGGCTTACCACCTGCCAGGCTCCAGGCTCCAGACTTACCACCTGCCAGGCTCCAGGCTCCAGGCTTACCACCTGCCAGGCTCCAGGCTCCACGCTTACCACCTGCCAGGCTCCAGGCTCACCATCCGTGTGACCCCCCCCCCCAGCGTGACCCTAACGGTGAGCACCCCGCGTGCGCACCTCCCCCCCCCCCCGCACAGAGGAGGCTCGAGTGGTGAATGAGAGTGAGACGTACCCACGAGCGCTGCTCTACTGGAACCGCGCCGCCTCGCAGGGTGAGACGCCCCCAGCGCCCCTCGCTCGCGGGCGCACCCACACACCGTGCCCCTCGCTCGCGGGCGCACCCACACACCGTGCCCCTCGCTCGCGGGCGCACCCACACGCCGTGCCCCCTCGCTCGCGGGCGCACCCACACACGGTGCCCCTCGCTCGCGGGCGCACCCACACACCGTGCCCCTCGCTCGCGGACGCACCCACACACCGTGCCCCTCGCTCGCGGGCGCACCCACACACCGTGCCCCTCGCTCGCGGGCGCACCCACACACCGTGCCCCTCGCTCGCGGGCACACCCACACACCGTGCCCCCTCGCGGGCGCACCCACACACCGTGCCCCTCGCTCGCGGGGCGCACCCACACACCGTGCCCCCTCGCTCGCGGACGCACCCACACGCCGTGCCCCCTCGCTCGCGGACGCACCCACACACCGTGCCCCTCGCTCGCGGGCGCACCCACACACCGTGCCCCCTCGCTCGCGGACGCACCCACACGCCGTGCCCCCTCGCTCGCGGACGCACCCACACGCCGTGCCCCCTCGCTCGCGGGCGCACCCAGACGCGCGGGCGCACCCCTGGTCTCTCATCACCGCCCCACACCCCCACCCCCCCCACCCCCCTCCCCCAGGCTACACGGTGGCACGGCTGAAGCTGGGCGACTACCACTACTACGGCCACGGCACGGAGGTGGACTACGAGGCGGCGGCCATCCACTACCGCCTGGCGTCGGAGCAGCAGCACAACGCGCAGGCCATGTTCAACCTGGGCTACATGCACGAGCAGGGCCTTGGCATGAAGAGGGTGAGCGGGAGGGTGAGCGGGAGGGTGAGCGGGAGGGTGAGCGGGAGGGTGAGCGGGAGGGTGAGCGGGAGGGTGAGCGGGAGAGTGAGCGGGAGGGTGAGCGGGAGGGTGAGTGGGAGGGTGAGCGGGAGAGTGAGCGGGGAAACCCCAGAGGGAGCCCCAGAGGGAGCCCCAGAGGGAGCCCCAGAGGGAGCCCCGAGTGATTGGTAATTGATTCTTGGGGCAGATTGCTTTAGTAAAATCTGTCGTAGTTCCCTCCTCCACCCGACACAGTCGATTTAATAAAGTTGTGTGTTCACGTGCGTACGCGTGCGGAGAGCGACAGCGGATTGGCTAGCGCACTGCACTACGGCCAACATCAGTGACGAATATCTGAACCACGTCCCGGGCCTTCCCTTGGCCGACTCGGAGACAGGCGGCCGGGCGCGGTGCCGGTCACCGACCCCCTCGTGCCCCCTCCGTAGAGTGACACTCGCTCACGGCACTTGCCCCGACGGTGCGTTGAGGCTACGCGGGGGCGCTGTGTGTGTGCGTGTGTGTGTGTGTGTGCGTGTGTGCGTGTGTGCGTGTGCGTGTGTGCGTGCGTGTGTGCGTGTGTTTGTGTGCGTGTGTGTGTGCGTGTGTGCGTGTGCGAGTCAGGATATCCACCTGGCCAAGCGTTTCTACGACATGGCGGCGGAGGCAAGCGCCGACGCTCAGATCCCCGTCTTCCTCGCCGTGTGCAAGCTCGACCTGCTCTACGTACTCGAGTTCCTGGAGCACAGCAACGTGAGTGACCCCCTGCACACAGCACCCCCTGCACACAGCACCCCCTGCACACAGCAACCCCTGCACACAGCACCCCCTGCACACAGCAACCCCTGCACACAGCAACCCCAGCACACAGCACCCCCTGCACTCGGCACCCCCTGCACACAGCACCCCCTGCACACAGCAACCCCTGCACACAGCAACCCCAGCACACAGCACCCCCTGCACTCGGCACCCCCTGCACACAGCACCCCCTGCACACAGCACCCCCTGCACACAGCACCCCCTACACTCGGCACCATCGACGGTGATCGCCGCGTGCTGATTGATTCCCCTCCCCTACCCCCCACCCCCCCGTTTGACCCTCCCCCCGGCCGCATTCCCAGCTGCTGGAGTCGTGGCGTCAGCTGGACCTGGACCGGCTGCTGGGCCCCGAGTGGGACCTCTACCTCATGAGCGTGCTGGCCCTGCTGCTGGGCACCATCATCGCATACCGCCAGCGGCAGCAGCAGCAGCAGCAGCCGCAGCAGCAGCAGCCGCTGCAGCCTGCGGCATAATGGGCACAACATCCCACGCAGGTGATTGGAACAGTCAGCGCAACAATCGCGACAGCCGGCACAAAACAATCACAACAGCCCCGGGGGAAGCCAGTGATTGAAGCAGCCCCCGTACAGCAATTGGAACGGCCCACGTATCATGAACAACCCCCTTCCAAGTCATTGGAGCGGCCGCCACGGCGACGGGAACGTCCACGCGAGCGTGACAACCGTCTCAACAACGGGAGAAAGGCGCACCCTGTGGAGAAGAAGCACCAGCGGCAGCGGCAGCGGCGGCGGAGCAAGTCTCGGATCGCTCCGGCGAGTTGCAGATCAAGGTCCCGGCTGTTAAACGTGCGTCGTGCGACGTGATGCGTTTTATTTGTTTTGTCGCACGTGTTTGTTATTTAATTGGTCGCTGAGAATCCGCGACGCCGAGAGGAGAAGGAGCTTCGCCTTCTCACTCTGAGCTCTTGGGGGACCCCCCCCCCCCCCAGGGCACAGGGAAAGTGCCCTGGCCCAGACCCTGACCAAGCACCTTCAATAGAGTAATGATGACCAACCCCGACACTAACACCATCCGTGAACCCGACACAGACCCTGAACAGAAGACGACCTGATTTTGACCCTGACAGCCAGCCCCTCTCTTCCCCCCTCCTCACCGTTAACATCACCAGCCTAACCCTGGCATCAACCCGACAACACAAGCCCCCCTCAGCCTACTAACGTCTCCAACGTCGATCATCTCGAGCACTTACACCACGGCCAGCCCCCAACTAAGCTGAAACCTCTAACCCACACTCTAACCCACACACTCTAACCCACACTCTAACCCACACTCTAACCCACACTCTAACCCACACTCTAACCCACACTCTAACCCACACTCTAACCCACACTCTAACCCACACATTCTAACCCACACACTCACCCACACTCTAACCCACACACTAACCCACACTCTAACCCACACTCTCTAACCCACACACTCACCCACACTCTAACCCACACTCTAACCCACACTCTAACCCACACACTCTAACCCACACACTCTAACCCACACTCTAACCCACACTCTAACCCACACACACTAACCCACACTCTGACCCACTCATTAACCCACACACTAACCCACACACTAACCCACACTCTAACCCACACACACTAACCCACACTCTGACCCACTCATTAACCCACACACTAACCCACACACTAACCCACACTCTAACCCACACACTAACCCACACACTAACCCACACTCTAACCCACACACTAACCCACACTCTAACCCACACATTCTAACCCACACTCTAACCCACACATTCTAACCCACACACTCACCCACACTCTAACCCACACACTAACCCACACTCTAACCCACACTCTCTAACCCACACACTCACCCACACTCTAACCCACACTCTAACCCACACTCTAACCCACACACTCTAACCCACACTCTAACCCACACTCTAACCCACACTCTAACCCACACACTAACCCACACTCTAACCCACACACTCTAACCCACACTCTAACCCACACTCTAACCCACACTCTAACACACACTCTAACACACACTCTAACCCACACACTCTAACCCACACTCTCACCCACACACTAATCCACACTCTAACCCACACTCTAACCCACACTCTCACTCACACACTCTAACCCACACTCTAACCCACACACTCTAACCCACACTCTAACCCACACACTAACCCACACTCACACCCACACTCACACCCACACACTAACCCACACTCTAACCCACACTCTCTAACCCACACACTAACCCACACACTAACCCACACTCTAACCCACACACACTAACCCACACTCTAACCCACACACTAACCCACACTCTAACCCACACACTAACCCACACTCTAACCCACACACTAACCCACACACTAACCCACACTCTAACCCACACACTAACCCACACACTAACCCACACTCTAACCCACACACACTAACCCACACTCTAACCCACACACTAACCCACACTCTAACCCACACACTAACCCACACTCTAACCCACACACTAACCCACACTCTGACCCACTCATTAACCCACACACTAACCCACACACTAACCCACACTCTAACCCACACACTAACCCACACACTAACCCACACTCTAACCCACACACTAACCCACACTCTAACCCACACTCTAACCCACACTCTAACCCACACACTAACCCACACTCTAACCCACACACTAACCCACACACTAACCCACACACTAACCCACACTCTAACCCACACACTAACCCACACTCTAACCCACACACTAACCCACACACTAACCCACACTCTAACCCACACTCTAACCCACACTCTAACCCACACTCTAACCCACACACTAACCCACACACTAACCCACACACTAACCCACACTCACACCCACACACTAACCCACACTCTAACCCACACACTAACCCACACACTAACCCACACTCTAACCCACACTCTAACCCACACACTAACCCACACTCTAAGCCACACACTAACCCACACACTAACCCACACACTAACCCACACTCTAACTCGAGCACTCACAGTAACCCTGACCAAGCCTAGCCCTAGCGTGGGCCCTAACTCCAATCATGGTCTCAAACCTCATCACCACCAACCCCCTCAGCTGAGCCAAACAGTAACACTCACCCCAACATTCAGCCCAGCTCTATGGCCCGCTGCACCACTGCTGCGCTCACCACTGCTGTGCTCACCACTGCTGTGCTCACCACTGCTGCGCTCACCCTCCGTCGGTCAAAGTGGCAGGGGATGTCCGACCCAAGTTACTTACCAGCCACCTCTGTTCACACCCCCCCCCCTCCACCCGCCCCCCACCCTACCCATCCCACCCCCCCGACTCTGAGAGTCGACAGATAATTTATCCCTTGTGTGTGGTGTCTTATTTTGTGAGACGCTTATTGCCACTAATTGTGAATACTGGCGGTGCGGGTTGTAATAAACAGAGTCGGATGGTGGGCCGGCGGTGATGTCGATGATGGTGATGTCGATGATGATGTCGTGCTGCTGTTGGTGTGATGTGTTCCAGCGTTGGTGATGATGATGTGCTGCTGTTGGTGTGATGCGTTCCAGCGTTGGTGATGATGTCGATGATGATGTGCTGCTGGTGTGGCGCGTTCCAGCGTTGGTGGCGGTGGCACCTAGGGTGCAGAGGGGTAGAGGTGGCATGGTGGAGAAGGCCGGGGAATCCTCCCACGGTGTTCCCTGCAGGCCACATAAAAAACAATGGAGCCGGCCACGTGGTTGCAACTCGTCACGTAAACTCATTATCACCCACGCTTGCTTACCTCAAGACTATGGTGGCTAGAAGATGTTAACTACCTCGCCAGGTATACAGGAGGTCATGGGTTTGATCCCGACCCTGACACCTGCTCTATATTTGGAGCTGCGTGTCTCCCCGTGGTTGCGTAGATTTTTCTTCATGTCCGATTTTTTCCCGTCCACGTTTATAGACTCAACATCACGCGTAGAGACTATTTGGCTGCTATAAATTTCCACGTGATGATAAGCCACTTTGATGGGCTATCATTCGTGATATTCAGGTCACGCGACATAGCGCAATGGGCCTCACCTTGTATAATGACAATAGTCCAGTTGAGTTTATTATAGTTTAGTTTACTGCTGCTGCGTGATCTCAATTGAGTGATCACGATTGGGATGGTTGATTGACAACGGTTCCACTGGGCGTTGCCTTCAATATGGGATGAACCCAGAGGAAGGCCGGAGGAAATCCACACAGAACAGGGGGAGCGAATACAAACTCCACTCTCACTCACAAAGACAAAGATCCCCGTATAGCCTGAAAAGACTGATAGGGCAAGTGCTGTTATCGAGCACCGATAAAGCTGTCACGGCACACACACTGTAGAACAGGAGAGAGAATACAAACTCCACTCACTGTAGAACAGGGGAGATAATACAAACTCCACTCACTGTAGAACAGGGGGAGAGAATACAAACTACACTCACTACAGAACAAGAGAGAATACAAACTACACTCACTACAGAACAAGAGAGACAATACAAACTACACTCACTACAGAACAAGCGAGATAATGCAAACTCCACTCACTACAGAACAGGAGAGACAATACAAACTACACTCACTCACTGTAGAACAGGAAAGAGAATACAAACTCCACTCACTACAGAACAAGAGAGACAATACAAACTACACTCACTGTAGAACAAGAGAGACAATACAAACTACACTCACTACAGAACAAGAGAGACAATACAAACTACACTCACTATAGAACAAGAGAGACAATACAAACTACACTCACTGTAGAACAAGAGAGACAATACAAACTACACTCACTATAGAACAAGAGAGACAATACAAACTACACTCACTACAGAACAAGAGAGACAATACAAACTACACTCACTGTAGAACAAGAGAGATAATACAAACTACACTCACTACAGAACAAGAGAGAATACATACTACACTCACTACAGAACAAGAGAGACAATACAAACTACACTCACTACAGAACAAGAGAGATAATACAAACTCCACTCACTACAGAACAGGAGAGACAATACAAACTACACTCACTGTAGAACAAGAGAGACAATACAAACTACACTCACTACAGAACAAGAGAGACAATACAAACTACACTCACTACAGAACAAGAGAGACAATACAAACTACACTCACTACAGAACAAGAGAGACAATACAAACTACACTCACTACAGAACAAGAGAGACAATACAAACTACACTCACTACAGAACAAGAGAGAATACAAACTACACTCACTACAGAACAGGAGAGACAATACAAACTACACTCACTACAGAACAAGAGAGACAATACAAACTACACTCACTGTAGAACAAGAGAGACAATACAAACTCCACTCACTACAGAACAAGAGAGACAATACAAACTACACTCACTACAGAACAAGAGAGACAATACAAACTACACTCACTATAGAACAAGAGAGACAATACAAACTACACTCACTACAGAACAAGAGAGACAATACAAACTACACTCACTACAGAACAGGAGAGACAATACAAACTACACTCACTACAGAACAAGAGAGACAATACAAACTACACTCACTACAGAACAAGAGAGACAATACAAACTACACTCACTGTAGAACAAGAGAGACAATACAAACTACACTCACTATAGAACAAGAGAGACAATACAAACTACACTCACTACAGAACAAGAGAGACAATACAAACTCCACTCACTACAGAACAAGAGAGACAATACAAACTACACTCACTACAGAACAAGAGAGAATACAAACTACACTCACTACAGAACAAGAGAGACAATACAAACTACACTCACTACAGAACAAGAGAGACAATACAAACTCCACTCACTGTAGAACAAGAGAGACAATACAAACTAAACTCACTGTAGAACAGGAGAGACAATACATACTACACTCACTACAGAACAAGAGAGACAATACAAACTACACTCACTACAGAACAGGAGAGACAATACAAACCACTCACTACAGAACAAGAGAGACAATACAAACCACTCACTACAGAACAAGAGAGACAATACAAACTACACTCACTGTAGAAAAGGAGAGACAATACAAACTACACTCACTGTAGAACAGGAGAGACAATACAAACTACACTCACTACAGAACAAGAGAGACAATACAAACTACACTCACTACAGAACAAGAGAGAATACAAACTACACTCACTACAGAACAAGAGAGACGATACAAACTACACTCACTACAGAACAAGAGAGACAATACAAACGCCACTTACTACAGAACAAGAGAGACAATACAAACTACACTCACAGAGGAGTCGGGGATCGAACCCAGCCATTTGCTCTGTGGGCTCGAGGGCCTTCG